TGTTACAGGCAAGGTGGGACCTCAGGGACAGTGCCCAAGCTGGGGGGGCACGGCCCAGGCCGGTGATGTAGCCCATCATGCTGGCCTCCCCCTTTTCTGACTTTTCCTGACGCCTGATTGCAGCCAGCGCTCAGCTTGTGGTGATTGGAAAGGCTCCAAATTGTGGCCACTTCTCCCATCAAGTGGCTCACAGCTCATGCTGCTTCAGAGGCAATTTCTTGGCGGCCGTGGGTGGCTGCATGTGAGGTCCCTGTCATCCTCCTGCCTGCACTGGATGTCTTTGTCCCCCTGCCCAGGGTCCCCCCACCCTGCTGCAGGACACCCATGCAGGGGCTCCTTGCTTGGGCTGGCACTGGAGCTGCACTTGGGGACCAGGGACGTGGAGAATGGGACAGAGGGAAGTGCTGCACAGCCCCAGTGACGCTGCAGGACCCGTGGGACTTCCATCAGTCCTGCACAGGACCCCCATCAGTCCTGCAGTACCCAGGACGCTCTGGACCCCCAACAATCCTGCAGCTCTCAGGATCTGTGGGACCCTGCCAAACCTCCAGCTCCAAGAATCCTCAGGACCCCCATCAGCCCTGCAGCCCCCAGGTCCTTCAGGAACTCCATCAGTCCTTCAACCCCCCCCAGGCCCCAGGATCTGCAGAACCCCTGCCAGTCCCCCAGAACCCTCCAGACCCCCATCAATCCTTCAGCCCCCCTGAACCCTCAGGACTCCCACCAGTCCTGCAGCCCCCAGGACCCCACAGCCCCCATGCCAGGCTCTCCCCCCCTCTGCTGCCTTTCCCCCCCCTGCACTCATCAAGCTCTTGAAGAGGGTTTTTATCCTGTCCCCACACATCTCCCGCGCTACCTTTGGGAGCTGCCAACTCCCCGTCACGTCGCCATCAGCACCAGCTCCCAGGTGGGCCCCGGAGCTCCGCTTGTCGTGCAGGGCGAGCGTGTGCGGGCAGCTCCCGCACGTGGGGGGGGCACGTGCGTGTGCACGGTGGCACTTTGGTGGCCTGGCCGTGTCCCAGCACCGAGGGCTGCCCGCTCCCCGCCGCCGGCTCCGTCACGTCCCAGCACAGGGACCTTCCCCCGGCGAGGGGCGAGAGCCGTAAACAAGCCCGGGGCACCGCGGCTCTTCACAGCTGCGTCGCACTTGGCATCTCACAAGTAGGTGTTATTAATTAATTAGACGGTCTCTGGCCAGGCTCCGATTTAATTAACGTTCCCGGCACTGCAGATGCTGCCCTGCCCCGGGCTGTGTTGCCACGTGAGCCGCCGCTGCCCCCCGCCTTCCCGGGGGGCTGCCGCAGCCACCGGAGCAGTCGCCACTGCCTGTTGCTTGGGATGGAGTCTTTGGCTCTCATCTCTTGGCCCAGTCCTTCCCTCTTTCCTTGTGTCCCTCTGCTTTCCCCCAAATTTTCCTCCCCATCTTCCACCTTGGCACATCCTGGCACAAGGCCGGGCACGCTGCAGTGGGCCAGGTGTGAGGTACCTGTGAGTGTGTGTGTGTGTGTGTGTGTGTGTGGGCACACCTGTGCTCGTGTGTGCAGGTGAACACGGGTGGGAGCCTGGCCGATCCCCTCTCCCCTGTGAGACCCCCAAATCCTGTCTGCACCGGCCAGCATCCAGCCAGAACCATTCCTCCACGCGTGTCCCCACACGTGCCAACAGCCACACGGTGACGTCCCCACAATGAGGGGCCGGGGGCTGCGTGGGCACGGTGCCCGTGTGCTGACCCCCCCAGCCCGGGGTGCCTGCGTGGGCACGCGTGTGCCGCTGTGTGACTCCGTGTGCCACGAGCGCTGGCGGTGTCACGGTGCCTGCGTGGGCGTGAAGCTGCAGGGTGGGGGTACCACCCCCCCGGCCCCCATTGGCAGCTCTCCTCTTGCCCACCCACGCCGTGCCATGGGCAGAGCCCCTTATTTAGAGCCGAGCAGCAGCCGCTGTCCCGGTACTTCGCCTCCTGGCTAAGCCCGGGCCGGGGGAGCTGCCCACCACCACCACCATCGCCGCTGCTGCCCACCACCACGCCTCGAGGAGTCTCTGCTCCGAGCAGCGAGGGTCCCTCAGCCCTCGACTCCACCGGCGGGCTCGGCAGGTCTGTGTCCCTGTGTCCCCCACGGTCCTGGGGGCTTCCCGGGGTCCCCGGGAGCTGCTGTGCCCTGTCCTCACCCCGCTGGGGTTAGGGGAAGGCAGAAGGAGGAAGAGGAGGTTGGGACAGAGCTGGAGAGGGCATAGGGAGGAAGAGAGATGGGGTGAAGGTGTTGCTTGAATTTGGGGAGGGTTTGGTGAGGGGTTTTGGAAGCGAGTCCGGTTGTAGGCGAGAAAATGCGTGCCAGGGAGCGTGCCTGGGGATGCCAGTGTGCCAGGGAGTGTGCCAGGGGACACGGGTGTGCTGAGGGGATGCCGGTGTGCCAGGGAGCGTGCCAGGGGACACGGGTGTGCCTGGGGATGCCAGTGTGCCAGGGAGTGTGCCAGGGGACACGGGTGTGCTGAGGGGATGCCAGGGAGCGTGCCAGGGGACACGGGTGTGCCTGGGGATGCCAGTGTGCCAGGGGCGTGCCAGGGGACACGGGTGTGCTGAGGGGATGCCGGTGTGCCAGGGAGCGTGCCAGGGGACACGGGTGTGCTGAGGGGATGCCAGGGAGCGTGCCAGGGGACACGGGTGTGCTGAGCCGGGTGAAGGTGCAGGACGGAGCCCGAGCCGTGTCCGTGCCCCACCCTCGTGTCTGCACGGCTCGTGTGTGCGTGCACAACCGTGGCACCACGGGCACGAGCGGGGACACGGCACCTCCGCGGCCACAGCAGGGCCGTGTCCCCCTGCACGCCCCGGAACGGACCCCCGCACACCGGTAATGCACTCCCGGGGTGCAGCACCCGTCCGAGGGACACCGGCAGCCCGGGAAGCGGCGCGCTCTCTCCTCCGCACAGCCAAGAGGGGGTCCCGCCGCCCCCGGCCTCCCCCGTCTCCCGTCTCTTTCCCTCCCCAGAGCCCGGTTCGCTTCCAGACTCATCCCGGCCCTCCCCATCGAGGGGTCGCCGGCTCGGAACAGCCCCGAGCCCCGCCGCTCCGTCGCTGATCGCTGTCCCCGTGTCCCCCTGAGGATGAAGAACCGACCGGTGCTGGCGGTGCTGCTGCTCCTGGCGCTGCCGCTCGCCCTCGCCCGCCGCGCCCCCGCCGCCCCGCCGGGCCCCGCGCTGGTACGGCCGTCGGGGGGGAAGCGACGACCGGATCCCCGGGACCCCCCGGACCCCTTCCCACCCTTCTCACCCGCTTCGTTCCCGCAGGGGATGCCCGTCCCGGAGCCGCTGCCGTGGAGCGCCCGCGGCAGTCCCGGGGCCGCCGCCGCCGCCGCGCTGGAGCTGCTGCGGGAGGAGGGCGCCGGTGAGGGGCGGGGGGGCTTGGATGGGAGGGTGTCGGTTCCCCCGGTACCCGCTCACCCGTTTCGGTCTCTTCCAGGTCCCCCCGCGGCGCCGCAGAAGAGTAAGTCCCGCCCGGTGCCGGCGCCGGTGCCGGCGCCGGTACCGGTGCCGCTGACGGCCGGTCTCTCCGCAGGAGACATGCACGATTTCTTCGTGGGGCTCATGGGGAAGCGAGCAGCGGAGCTCGGGCGAGCGGCGGGGCGGGGAGGCGGCAGCCCGGCCCCCCGGTGCTCCCCGGGACCCCCCGCTCCCGGAGAGACCCCGCTGCGGGCGGCCTGAGCGGCGGAACGAGCCCCCCACGGGGTTGTGCCCGGTGTCCCGGGGACGGTGGGACCGACCGCGGGAGCGTCCCGGGCTCCGGCGCCCACGGAGCCGTCGGGAGCGCGGCCGTCCCGCCCCACGCGCGCGTGTCCGTGCACCTGTGTACACCTGGGCGTGCCCCGCTATACACCCACCCGTGTCCGCGCGGGACACGCGCAAAATGCGGCTCCGTGTCTTGGCTGCGCCTGCGGGACCCGCTCGGGACAGCCCAGGGGATGGGGATGAGCCCACGGGGAGGGGGATGCGGGGATGAGCCCACGGGGATGGGACCGCGGGGATGAGCCCACGGGACCACCGGGGCCCGGGGCTCGTGTGCTCTTGGGCTACCGCCACCTGTCCCTTCCCCACGGCAGCCCCCGGAACCGGAGAAGTGCCCGTGCCTCTGTCCATGCTCCTCCCCGTTCTGTGTGTCCCGCCCCGTGTCCGTCTGTCCTTTCCCATGTCCGTGTTTCCCATGTCCGTGTGTCCCGCCCAGTGTCCGTCTGTCCCGCCCCGTGTCCTTGTGTCCGTGTGTCCCACGCCGTGTCAGTGTGTCCCGCCCCATGGCCGTCCGTCCGTGGCCGTCTGTCCCTCCCCGTGTCCATGTGTCCGTGTGTCCCTCCCCGTGTCCGTGTGTCCGTCTGTCCCGCCCTGTGTCCGTGTCCGTGTGTCCCACGCCGTGTCCGCGTGTTCCTCCCCGTGTCCGTCTGTCCCTCCCCGTGCCCGTGTGTCCCGCCCCGTGCCCGTGTGTCCATGTGTCCCTCCCCGTGTCCGTCTGTCCCTCCCCGTGCCCGTGTGTCCATGTGTCCCTCCCCGTGTCCGTGTGTCCCTCCCCGTGTCCGTCTATCCCTCCCCGTGCCCGTGTGTCCATGTGTCCCTCCCCGTGCCCGTGTGTCCATGTGTCCCTCCCCGTGTCCGTGTGTCCCTCCCCGTGCCCGTGTGTCCCGCCCCGTGCCCGTGTGTCCATGTGTCCCTCCCCGTGTCCGTCTGTCCCTCCCCGTGCCCGTGTGTCCATGTGTCCCTCCCCGTGTCCGTGTGTCCCTCCCCGTGTCCGTGTGTCCCTCCCCGTGCCCGTGTGTCCATGTGTCCCTCCCCGTGCCCGTGTGTCCGTCTGTCCCTCCCCGTGTCCGTCTGTCCGTGTGTCCCGGCCGGTGCCCCCGCTCCGGGTCCTCCGGGCCGCGCGGGGGCGCTGCGGGCGGCGGCTCCCGGAAGGCGGCGCGGGCCGGGGCGGGCGGCCCGCGACCCCCGGCCCCCGCACGGCCCCCAGCCCCGCGCCGACCCTCTCCTACCCTCCCCGGGGCCTCCCGCCGCCTTTCCTGGCTCCCCCCGGGGGCCTTTCCTGCCCTCCTCTCAGGGCCCCACCGGGACCCCGCTGTCCCCACCGCCCGGCTCCTCCCGTTTCTCCCGGAGCAGCTCCGGGACTCCCCCCCGGGCCCTCATCCTCTGTCCGGTTCTTTCCCCTCCTGCCCCATCCCCTCCGCCGCAGCAATTGCCCAGGTGCTTTTTGGGCTGGGGAGGGTTTGCCTTCCCGAGCCTTCCTCGCGGTATCTTCATCCTCCTCCTCGCCCTCCCGTGCTGCCGGTGGTGTTTCCCCCCATCCCTCGCATACCCGTCCTCTGGGCTTTGGTTTTTCCCGGAGCTGGGGCAGGGGCAGCTCCAACCCCTCCAAACTCCTGCTCTTCGCTGCCTTCTGGGCTCGCTGTTCCCTGTCTCAGGACGGGGAAGGCAGGGAATTTGGGATAGGGGAATTAAGGATAGAGTTTGCTGGGTAAGTTTGTGAAATCCCAAGAGCTGTTGGGGTGTCTGTGAGCTGGACAGAGGGACAAAAGCAGTGGGACAAGCTGGGAGGACACTGGGGGGTATGGCCGGTGCTGTGGGACAGGTGTGGTGGCAGCTGAGGAATCTGAGAGGTGTCACCAGGAAATCCCAGGGGAATCCGTCCCAGGGGAATCCATCCCAGGGGAATCCAGAGGCTGGAATGCAGAGAATCCCACCTGGGAGCCTGAAGTCTCCTTGTGGGTCCAGGTGGAATCTGAAGTGAAGGAATGAAGTGGCTGCAGCTGGAGGAGACCTTGAGGCAAATCCAACTGGTGTGTCCAGCCTGAGTGACATCTGTTTGGAGAGGAGCCTCCTCCCCAGCTTGGGAAGAGGGAGATGTCTGGAACAGGTTCCAGTTGGGTCTCAGGGTCAGCAGGATCTCTGTCCCTGCCCCTGTAGCAGTGGGACCTTCAGGCTGCCTCTGAGAGTCAGTCCCTTTTTGTTTTGACTTTGCTGCTTTGCACATCCAGCCTTTTACTTCCCAAAACTGAGGTGACAAGACGGGTTTAGTCCATCTCCAACTGAGCAGCTGCTCCTTGGCTCCTCAGAAAGGTGCAAGATGACCAGAATGACTTTGCTTTGGTTGTTAAATAACTTTTTTTTTTTTCATTTCCCCTCTGCAGAGCCCCTTGCCCTGCCAGTTCCTGCTCCCGCCGCGGATGAAAGCGTGAAGGCCGAGCTGACCAGCAGAAGGGACACTTGAGCAGCTGCTAAGATGGGCATGAGGATCAAGCTGCACAGCACCAACCACCCCAACAACCTGCTGAAGGAACTCAACAAGTGCCGGCTCTCCGAGACCATGTGCGACGTCACCATCCTGGTGGGCTCCCGCTCCTTCGCCGCGCACAAGGCCGTGCTGGCCTGTGCCGCTGGCTACTTCCAGAACCTCTTCCTCAACACGGGGCTGGACGCTGCCAGGACCTACGTGGTGGATTTCATCACGCCGGCCAACTTTGAGAAGATCCTGAGCTTCGTGTACACCTCGGAGCTCTTCACCGACCTCATCAACGTGGGGGTGATCTACGAGGTGGCCGAGAGGCTGGGCATGGAGGATCTGCTGCAGGCTTGTCACTCCACCTTCCCCGACCTGGAGAGCTCGGCCATCACCAAGCAGCCTGCCCTGTCTGTGGGGGAAGGCCGGGCTGGGCCGCTGAGCAGCACCTCCTCGGAGCAGAGCCACGCTTTGGGGGACGTGCGGAGCGGCGCGGAGCACTTCGGCCCCGAGCGGAATTACCTCCTGCACGGGGACGTGGTGGGCAGCTACAAAGAGGATGACAGGAGTGCCGTGGCTGAGGCCAGCCAGGCTCTTCCCCTGATGCACCCACAGCAGACTCCCAAGACAGAGCAGGAGTCGGATGCGGGGCAGTTTGCTCCAGTTGTGGGTCTGGGGGCCCAGCCCGGTGGGAATGTTGTGGCACAGACCACAGGCAGCTCCTGCCCTCAGTACAAGGCCCAGAGCAATGGTGACTACAGCAAGAGCGGCTTCTTCCCCACTGACCCCTCCCTGGATGTGTCCACAGGGAGCAATTCCTGCCCCAGCAACAGCGACCACTCCAAAGAGCAGGGGTTCGAGCAGATGGATGAGCTCCAGCTGGAGGATTTGGGAGAGGCCGAGCTGCATTTTGAGGATGCTGGAGAAGAGCTGGTCCCGTCTGAGGAGGTGATTGAGCTGAGCGATGACAGCGAGGAGGAGCTGGCCTTCGAGAGCGACAGCCGGGACAGCAAGGCCATGCCCTGCCAGGTGTGCAAGAAGGTTCTGGAGCCCAACATCCAGCTGATCCGCCAGCACGCCAGGGACCACGTCGACCTGCTCACGGGGAACTGCAAGGTGTGTGAGACCCACTTCCAGGACCGTAACTCCAGGGTGACTCACGTGCTGTCCCACATCGGCATCTTCCTCTTCTCCTGCGACATGTGCGAGACCAAGTTCTTCACCCAGTGGCAGCTGACGCTGCACCGGCGGGACGGGGTCTTCGACAACAACGTCATAGTCCACCCCAGCGACCCCCTGCCGGGGAAGGTGGCCGTGTTTGGGGGAGGGCCCGGCCCCGAGCTGGCTTGTGCTGCCTGCGGGAAGCCCTTGGCCAAAGATTTCCACACGGTGCGGAACCACCTGCTGGAGCACGTGAACCTGAAGAGCCAGACGTGCGGCGTGTGCGACCAGCGGCACCTGAGCCTCTGCAGCCTGCTGTGGCACGCCCTGTCCCACCTGGGCATCTCCGTTTTCTCCTGCTCTGTGTGTGCCAGCAGCTTCGTGGACCGGCAGCTCCTGGAGAAGCACCTGGCCGTGCACCAGCACGCGGAGGAGGCTCTTTTCCAGTGCCACTTCTGCAGCCAGAGCTTCAAGCTGGAAGCCGCTTACCGCTACCACGTCAGCCAGCACAAGTGCGGGGGCAGCCCGGACATCCGGGCGGGATTTGGGGAGCGCCTGCAGCCGCAGGGGCTGCCCAAGAGGAAGCTGCCCGAGGAGTTCCTGAGCGAAGAGCTGGCTCTGCAGAACCAGCCGGGGAACAGCAAGTACAGCTGCAAGGTGTGCGGCAAGAGGTTTGCCCACACCAGCGAGTTCAACTACCACCGGCGCATCCACACCGGCGAGAAGCCGTACCAGTGCAAGGTGTGCCACAAGTTCTTCCGAGGGCGTTCCACCATCAAGTGCCACCTGAGGACGCACTCGGGGGCCCTCATGTATCGCTGCACGGTGTGTGGCCACTACAGCTCCACGCTCAACCTGATGAGCAAGCACATAGGGGTGCACAAGGGCAGCCTCCCGCCGGACTTCACCATCGAACAGACTTTCATGTACATCATCCATTCCAAAGAGGCTGAGAAAAACACGGATAGCTGATGGGGAGCTGCTGGAGGAGGAGTGGTAATGGTGGAGGCTGTGGAGGAGGAGGAGGAAAGGAAGGAAAAAAAAAAAAAAAAAAAAAGAGTTGTTTGGTTTTATTTAATGGTCAGGCATCATGGATGGAATTCTTTTTTTTTTTGGTTTTGGTTTCGTTTTTGTTCTTTGGTTTTTTGGTTTTGGGCCTTCCTAAGGCTTTTTAGATTGGTGGCGTTGTACAAATTAACAGCACGTGAGGTACATCACTGTTTCAAGGAGTCTGTCGTGTTTACTTACCTCTGGTCCTGTTAGAGGCCATCGAGTTCTGTGCTTTTAGCATTTCTCACTAGTTTTTGAGTCTAGATTCTATTTTTTTTTTTTTTGAACCTTTTAGCCCACTTGACCAGGCTAACCCTGAGCTTGTCCACAAACTGATGCTGCTAAGATTTTCACACCTGACCTCAGTGGAGAGGGACAGAGCCAGAGCAGGCGCTGGACTCGAAGGAAAGGAACAAAAAAGAGAAAGAAAAAAAGGAAAGAAAAGGACATTCTGGGCATCCCTGGTGTTCTGCTGCTACTGCCAGGAGACAGGCAAAGTGTGCATTGCTGGGGAGAGGAGCAGGAAGCACCTGAGTGTGTAAACAAGGAGGGATCCCAGCAGGGAACCAGGAGCAGGGGATTCAGATTCACAGATTCCCAGGCTCTGCCACGGCTGGGACTCACTCGTGCCCTGAGACCTGGAGGAGGAGCTGAAGGAGCAACAGGACCTCCCTGCAGATCCTGGGTGGAGGTGGCTGTGTGAGCATGGAGATCTCCTGTAGGACCGGAGAGGGAAGGGAAGCAGGTCCCTGCTCCTTGTGGGGTGATTTGTGGTGGCCACAGAGAGCCAGGAGTCTCCTGGCTCTGCTCTGCCCCAGCCTCACGCTGTGCCCCGGGCAGAGAGTCAGGATGAAGCTGTTGCCTTAACTCCCTGGAAGGAGGAGGGACCCTTCTCCTGCCAGAGGGATCCCCCCCTGCCATGCCCTGGACGTGTTCCTGTGGCAAACGTGTGTGGTTGGAGTGATGAGAGTTTGTTCATGGAGAGAGAGAGATGGCTTGGCCTCTCCAGCTGCATGCTAGGCACTTCTGGGGGCTCCCCTGGGTGTGGGGGGCTCCCCTCGGTGTGGGGGGCTCCCCTCGGCATGGAGGGGCTTTTCTGAGCATGGAGGGGCTCTCCTGGGCATGGAGGGGTTCTCCTGGATGTGGGGAGCTCTGTTGGGGAGGAGGGGCTCCCCTTGGTCTGGGGGGTCTCTCCTCGGTGTGGGGGGCTCTCCTGGGCCTGGAGGAGTTCTCCTGGGTATGGAGGGGCTCTCCTGGATGTGGGGGTCTCCTCTGGGTGTGGGGGTCTCTCCTGAGTATGGAGGGGTTCTCCTAGGAGTGGGGAGCTCTGCTGGGCATGGAGGGGCTCCCCTTGGTGTGGGGGTTTCCCCTGGGCAGGGGGGGCTCTCCTGGGCATGGAGGGGCTCCCCTTGGTGTGGGGGTCTCTCCTGGGTGTGGAGGGGCTCTCCTGGGCATGGGTGGTTCTCCCCCTCTACATTTCAGTGCCCCTTGGTGCAGGAGGCTCTCCTGGGCACAGGGAGCTCTCTTGGCACAGGGGGCTCTCCTGGACATGTGCCAGCCTCTCCTTGGCACAGGGAGCTCTCCTGGGCACGGGGGTCTCTCTTGACCCTGTGTCAGGTCCACCTCAGCACGGGGGGCTCTCCTGGCTGCTCCTGGGGGGGTCTCTCCTGGCCACCCCAGCAAGGTGCCAACAGTGTTAACACTGGGAAGGGCATGGATTGGTTTCTCCCTGTGTTATCCAGCCGTGGGGCAGAGGTGGGGAGGAACAGATAATTCCAAGCTGGGATTGCCCTCGGGTAACTCATTCTACCTCACAAACATGGAAGTGCTCGGGGCTCTCCAGCCTTGGTGCTCGTGGATCAGCTCCTGCACTTCTGTCAAGTTTTGCTGTTACAAAACTAAAACTAAAAAAAAAAAAAAAAGAAAAACTAAACTGAACTAAGCTAGTGATTTGCAAACCCTGGAAACTCACCCTGCTGCCCCCTCCCTGGGAAGGGACACCCAGGAAGGGACACCCAGGAAGGGCCATCCTGCAGTGGGGGCTGGACTCAGAGAGCTCAGAGCACCCGGGGGTCTCTCTTCCAGCTCCACCATGGCCTTGGGCAAGTCACTTCACCTCTTTGCCTCAGTTTCCTCATCTGTAAAATGAGGGTGGTACCGACCTACCTCCGGGAGCAGGGAGGGTGCCTGGAGCCTGGCTTTGGAGGAGGGAGGCACCAGAGCCAAGGGCAGATCTGGGTTCTGAATTCCAGGCTCGTGGTCCTGGCATCACTGTGGAGCTGTGTTGGAGTTTTACAGGAGAAAGGGGAATTTTGGGAATGGCGTGGTGCTCTGCGCAGCGGTGCTGCTTTGCTGTGGGCTCCTCTGAGCTGCTCTCCGGGTTTGTTTTGTGGAATTGTGGGAGGAATGAGGCTGGAAGGGACATTTGGGGGTCGCCCAGTCCCACCCCCTGCTCGTGCAGGGTCCCCTCGAGCGTGGAACTCTGGGCTGTGCCCAGCTGGGGACAGGGACAGGGACAGACACGACCTGCACTGCTCTGGAGGTGGCCGTGAAGGGTGTGACGGATAGACAAGGCTGGGAGAGCCTGGAGACCCTCCTGGAATGTTCCAGAAGCCGTGGTGAGCTTCAGGGAGGCTCTGCAGCCCTGCAGCTTTTCACTAAGCTGAAAAGCAAAAGCCTTTTGTGCACATAAACCAAAAAGAGAAGCTTTTACACCGAAACACCAACGGGAACAGCCAACCCTTGCTCCTGCCTTGGGGCCGGCTCTGAGCCAGGGAATTTCTGTTTGCCTGGGTTAAAATTCCCACGTGGAATACCCGCCCTTGCTCCTGCCTTGGGGGGAAAAGCAGGAGCCCCCCATTGCTGCCGGCTCTGAGCCAGGGAATTTCTGTTTGCCTGGGTTAAAGTGGATCATTCCCACGTGGAATACCCCAAATCTGCAGTGGAGGGGCTGCAGGGGTGGGTCTGGCCCTGCTGCTGCTCCTGGGGGGTGATCCCCAGAGGGCTCAGAGACCTGAGTGGGGGTCCTGGGTGTTCCTGAGCCTTTGGGGTGGGCAGGGGTGTCACCCCTGTGCCCAGCCTGCCTGGCAGCTCCAGCTCGGTGTTGGCAGGGCCAGAGCAGTGGCTCCATTCCGATTTTATTCCTTCTCCACCACCGTGGCTCTCTCCTGTCCCCGCTGCCCTTGGTGACCGTGGGGACACCAACCTACCTCCCCTGGGGCAGCCCGAGGCGTTTGCAAAGTGCTTTTAGGATCCTGGGGTAGCAGAGGGGGAAATTCTGGCAGCATCCAGGTCCTGGAGCCTCCTGGGGAGCCCAGCCAGGGAATCCTGCTCTGAGCCCAGGCTCACTCCCACCCCCACCACAAAATTCCCTGTTCTCAGTGGATCCAGGTCTGTCACCAGAGCGATTGAGCAGAAGAAGAAAGAACAAGAGTTGAACTTGCTGTCTAACCTTTTTGTTAAGTTAATCGTAGGTACTGACCTCCTGCTATTTAAGTGTTTACTATCTATTTGCTGTAAAGTTTTGTATATTTTGTAAACTTCCCCCGCCCCGCCCCCAAATCGTAGATGTCTAAAATCGTTGTACATCGGGTTCTTTTCTACTCCATTGTTCAGCACAAAGTGTGTTTTTTATTTAGAATAATAAAATGGAAAACATTGACCTCTTGTAGCTGCTCCTTTAGAAAATGTGTTTTTCCCAGGAGTGCCTGGGTGATCCGTAAGAATCCATAAAAATATCTCGGATTTCTCATTTGAGGGGGGATCTCAACCATCCATAAAAATATCTCGGATTTCTCATTTGAGGGGGGATCTCAACAATCCATAAAAATATCTCAGATTTCTCATTTGAGAGGGGATCTCAACAATCCATAAAAATATCTCAGATCTCTCATCTGAGGGGGGATCTCAACAATCCATAAAAATAGCTGGGATTTCTCATTTGAGAGGGGAACTCAACAATCCATAAAAATATCTCGGATTTCTCATTTGAGGGGGGATCTGAACAATCCATAAAAATATCTCAGATATCCATATAAATATCTCATCTGAGAGGGGATCTCACCAATCCATAAAAACACCTCAAAGGGGGTGCCAAGAGGATGGTGCCAGACTTTTCAGTGGTGTGACAGGACAAGGAGCAGTGGCCATAAATGAAACCACAAGAAATTCCACCTCAACACAAGGAAGAACTTCCCTTGGAGGTGGGAACAGGGTGCCCCAGCCCAGGTCACCGTGGGTGACAATTTATTTCAGGCCATTCTGGCCCTAAGGTCTCTGGACAAAAATGCAGAGAAATTCAGACAGTTAAAAATTAAGTTTATTAGGTGAAATACCAAATTTTATATGTTGAAGTATCTTGAATATATTTTTGCCCTGGTGAGTGGCTGGTTGTGTGTTTATCCTCCATTTTTTCATTGGAAATGGGAGGGAATTAGCAAAGGGAAGCTCAGGGAGGATTTGGGAGCAGGGAATGAAGGTGGTGGGGTGCAGATCTCAGCCTGGGGGTCTCCCAGGTCTGAGGAACAGAGGAAGGGAATTCCTGAGCAGGGAATTCTGGAGCCTTCCCAGGGTTTCTGTGTAAGAGGTGGGTTTGGATTTTTCCCTCAGTGCTCATGTGCTGGGATACAGAGGAACACCCCTGCAGGAGGAACCCTGAGGAACTGAGGGTTTTACCCCGTCAGGGACCCCTGGAAGTGGCAGAGCTTTCCCAGCCAGCCCCCTGATAACCCCTGGTCATGGGCTCCTCCTGGGACATCCTGCTCCCACCCCTGCGCCAGCATCCTGTCCCCAGAACTGCTTATGCTTTGCTTTTTTCACCACGTGTTCCTCGAGCAGCTCAAGGCCTTGGGGAGATTTATGGTCCCTCTGTCACCTTCCCCCAGCGAGGGCCCGAGCCCCAGCACGTGACTGAGGTCAGGATCCACGCAAGGATGGATTTTCTCCGGATGCTCCAGTTCCTTGCAGGGCACAAACCCAGCCCGTGCTGCGGCTCTGAGGATTTTTGCACGTGCCCGTGCTCCCACAGGGGTTTTGGTGGAAGGGGAAGGGGTGTTGGGGCCTGGTGGAGTTGAGAAATCTACCCAGTGGCCATAAAAACCTGCCAGGGGATGCTCCAGAGGAGGCTGGAGTTAATGGGATGGAGGACCCAAAGTCAGCCCTTCCCAGTAAAACCCAGTTTAGCCATCACTAATTTACAACTGGGTTTGCAAAACTGCTCTGAAGGAGTGGCTGATCTGGAATCCAAATTGTTCCTCCCCTCAGGTCTGTGCCCTGCTCAACCCCTTGGGCTGCTTCGCCTTCATCTCTCAAAAATCAGGCTCTGGATGCTGCTGGGCACTGTGGGGGGAGGTTTGTGCTCCAGAGGGATGATTCCTTCTCTCCCACTCGGGATGGCACTCCCCAGGCAGTGCTGTGCCCAGGGCTGGGGCTCAGGGGCAGTTTGGGGGTGCAGGAACACCCGTGGTGGGGCAGATGGTGCACCCCAACCCCACAGCCTGGGCCAGGACGGGGCTCTGATCTCGGGGCTGGGTTGTGTCAGACGCTGAGTGGAGTAACAAGCTTTATTATTGCAAGGGAATATAATGTTCTTGTCAAACAGGGAATATAATTCTCTCATATCCTTTCTTTAGATTGGACACAACAGCACCCCAGAGGCAAGATGTCCGTAGCTCCCAGCTCGCACGGGAGGTGCCCAGCCAAGAAGGGCTGTGCCCAAGCAAATCGTGTCCTCAGCAGCAGGAAAACCAATCCCACTGTCCCCAGGGAGCCAGCACGACGGAGACAGGGAGAGTCTGACCCCCCTTAGTTGGGAGGGCCGTTGTCCTTGGCGATGACTATGGAGTGCTGCGTGCTGGAGGAGGAATTGCCAGCGCCCTTCTGGCCAGCGTGGTCCTTGGGGATGTACTTGACCACAGCAGAGATGAGCTTGCTGCGGAAGTTCTTGCTGAGGAAGTTGTAGAGGATGGGGTTGACGACGCAGTGGAGCAGCGTGAAGCAGTCGATGATGTCGTAGAAGAAGTAGAGCAAGTGGGCGAAGGTGCAGTGCAGGATGATGTGGTTGCCCTCGAGGGTGAGCAGCGTCAGCACGGCGTGGAAGGGCAGCCAGCTGAGCAGGAACACCCCGATGTAGGCGTAGATCAGCAGGCAGTGCTTGCGGCTCTCCGGCTTGGCGCGCCGGAGGAACCGCGCCGTCAGCACGTTGAACACCGCCATGACGGGGAAGGGGATGAGGAAGCCGATGGCCGTGGTGGCCAAGCTGACCGCCAGCGCCCACTCGTCGTAGGTCTCGAAGGGGGCCATGAAGATGCAGATGGGCTCCCCGGTGTTGACCAGCTGCATGTGAGCCACCTCCAGCACGGGGATGGCGGCGGCCAGGACCCAGCTGCAGGCGCAGACCACGCGGCGCGCGCGGTGCTGGTGCCGGTGCCAGAAGAGGGAGGAGCTGGTCAGGGTCACGTAGCGATCCACGCTCAGGCAGGTGAGGAAGAAGATGCTGGCGTACATGTTGGCGAAGTAGAAGTAGTGGGTGAAGCGGCAGAGGAAGCTGCCCCAGAGCCAGGTGTAATCCAGCATCACCTCCAGCATCCAGATGGGCAGCGAGAGCAGCACGCCGAGGTCGGCGACGGCCATGTTGATGATGTACAGGTTGACCAAGCTCTTGTTGCCCCGGGTCTGCCAGTTGACCCAGATGACGAGGAGGTTCTCCACCAAGCCCACCACGAAGATGACCAGGTAGAGGATGAAGAGAACCACTCGCTTGATGTTCTCGTCCAGGCTGAACTCGCAGTAGGTGTAGGTGTGGTTCAGGAGGTAGAACAGCTCGGACAGGTTGTGGTAGTCCCCGTACTCACTGGGGACAGTGTGTGTCTCCATGGGGACAGTGGTCACCTCGGCCATCCTGGTGGCTGCAGGGAAAGGGAGAGCACTGAGCTGGGCAGCCTGAAACAGAGAGCCCTTGTGTGGGGCTCAAAAAGTTCCTTCTGGCAGCTTCTAATCCAATTTTTACTCCCACGGTGGCTCCCTACATCAACCCTCCAAAGATGCTGTGTCCACCCAGGTGATCCCCTCACATCCCAGGATAAATGCCAGCCACAAACTACAGTCACCACGCGTGGTGGCTGTCCCCTGTCCCACAGGCTGGCCTGGGACAAGACAGGATTGGTGACTGTCCCAGACAGCTCCAGTGGGAGAGGCACCTCTCCCACCCAAACCTCGGGGTGTGGTCGCTCGCCAGCCGCCCTCACTCTGCCGGGAGCCATCGGGACATCCAAGTAGGTGACAAAATGATACATTTCAGGGAAATGCAGTTGACCTGAACATCCTCTTACCGCCCCAAGTGAGAGCCCCGATCCCAGCGCAGCGAAGACGCTGCGGAGCCCTCGTTCCGCTGGAGCAGCCGCTCCCTTGGGAATGCTGCGGGACTCTGCCCTTCCAGCGGGGTCTTCCCGCTTCACCTGGAGCCTGGCAAGCCGCGACCGAGCCACAGCTGGTGTCCCCCGTGAGTGTCACCCCTGTGGCACCCACCCAGGCTGGCAGCCAAAACCTGCCACCCCCAGGGCTCCTGAACCTCCCGTCCTCTCTGTCCTGCAGGTCCTGAGAGGCCGCTGGGGCTGAGGAGGGAGAGAGGGAAAACGGGACAGACGGACGGGAGGGGGGACATATGGACAGGAGAAGGGACAGAGAGATGGGTGAGGGGACAGATGGATGGGAGAAGGGACAGGTGGACAGGAGAAGGGACAGGCAGACAGGACCAGGGACAGAAAAATGGGAGAAGGGACAGATGGATATGAGAAGGGACAGACAGACAGGAGAAAGGACAGACAGATGGGAGAGGGGACAGATGAATGGCAAAGGGGACAGACGGGCAGGAGAAGGGACAAGCAGACAGGACCAGGGACAGACAAACGGGAGAAGGGACAGATGGGAGAGGGGACAGATGGACGGCAAAGGGGACAGACGGACAGGAGAAGGGACAGGCAGACAAGAGCAGGGACAGACAAATGAGAGAAGGGACAGACGGACAGGAGAAGGGACAGGCAGACAGGACCAGGGACAGAAAAATGGGAGAAGGGACAGAGAGATGGGAGAAGGGACAGGCAGACAAGAGCAGGGACAGACAAATGAGAGAAGGGACAGACGGACATGAGAAGGGACTGACAGACAGGACCAGGGACAGACAGACGGGAGAAGGGACAGGCAGACAGGACCAGGGACAGACAAACGGGAGAAGGGACAGACGGACAGGAGAAGGGACAGACAAACGGCAGAAGGCACGGACGGGTGGGAGAGGGGACAGATGGATGGTAAAGGGGACAGACGGACAGGAGAAGGGACACGAAGGAGGAGGGAGGGCTCTGGCTCACCGGCGGCTGAGCGAGGGCTGCGCTGGGGCTGCTCGGGAGCGGGGGGATCCTCTCGGCTCGGCAGCTCAGGCGCCTCTGGGCACGGAGCTGGGGTGGGCTTGGTGGCCGCTCGCTGGGCAGGAAATGACCGTCGTGGTGCAACATCCTGAGACAGCCCAGCGAGGGTGACATTTCCCTGGATTTCCAGCGCCGGGACTCGGCTCCCGTTTGATTTTGCCGCAGGGTGGGGACGGGCGCGGGGAGGCCCCGGGCAGGTGTCGGTGTGGAAGCCGCAGGTGCCTGGGGGTGGACGGGGGTCCCCGAGGCTTCCCGAGTGTCCCCTCCACTGTCACCCCGCTGGGATAAGAGGTTGGGTCCTGCCTGGATCCTTCTGTGGGGAAAATACATCCCAGGTCCTGCCCCAGCTCTGGGAATCCTGAGGGGCTGGGGTGGGTTATAACAAAAGTGACAAAGCTGTCCTTGATGCCGCCTCGATGTCAGGGTGAGATCAGGGGTTTTTCGGGGGAAAAGGGCTGAAAGCTGAACTCTCTGCCCGGGCAGCGCTCCCGCAGGAGCCGGTGGCAGACGGATGTCGCCAGAGAAGCACCTCTGGCCAGGCAGCAATTAATCACAGAGCCTTGATTGCCCCGCGGTCTGGCAGGGGAAGCCAGGGGGCTCAATCCTTGCCCCGGCGCTGGGGAGGGGGCTGATAGGCAGAAAATTTTGCATGGTGCTGCAAGTCCTGCGAAACAATTGCAGGAAATCTCCTTTTTTCCAGCTCAGCCAAGACTGCGGGATCAACAATTGGCTCGGAAGGAAGGCACGGGGAGCGGGGAAGCGCCAGGGCACTGATAAGTCGGGGCTCACAACAACAAGCCCAGCGCTGGTGACCCCGTGTGCAGGTACCAACCCCGGCAGGAGCGGCTTCCAAACAGGAACTCGGCAGCTTCGTGCTGGCCCCGGGCATATTTTGGCTCAGCTGGGGCAGTGGGGGTGGTGAGGGGCCGCTCTGCTACCGAGGGGCTGGGGGGCTTTGCCCCACCCGAGGGGGAAGCAATGCTCTGCTGGTTCTATTTCACAGGTCAGGAGATTTCCACAGCGAACTCTGGGGCTGAGCAGGAGCTGGGAACCGTCGAGGGTTGTGCAGGGGCTGCTGATCCTGGTGGGAACAGCGAGGTCTGGGAGCCGGTTGTATTTCCAAGCCGGCTGAGAGGGTTTGGGACAGGCAGCTCAGCCCATTCTGCCCATCCCTGCCGCAATTCCTGGGGTGCCCCAAGGCTCCCAGCACCCCAAATCTGTGCCCAGGAGCCCCTCGGGGTCTGGAGAGGTGGGTTCCAGGCAGAGGCAGCGCCGGGAATCTGCAATTCTCCGGCTCCTTCCCCCTCCGGGCAGCCGCGGTGCTGCCGGAGGGATTTGGGCACAGGTGTGCCAGGGCAGGTACAGCCAGGGCTGCAGCTCCCGGGGGGTTGGCACGCCACATCCCGGCCCCTGGGGACACGCTGGCCCCCGACGCGACCTGCGAGGGCTGCCGGGCACGCTGTACTCTCTAAGCCAAAGAAAACACTTGGGAAAAAAGCTTCCTTGGCTGGCGAAGCCGCTCGGCGAGCTGAAGGCAGCTTGTGCAAGGTCCCGGGTGCTCCTCATCCCTCTCGCCCTCCCCGTGGCATCTCGGGGGTCCCGGTCCGGCGTGGGCTCGGCCTTTGCCAGAGCTGGGGGAGCGGGGCTGCGTTGGCGCTGCTCTGGTCCCGCAAGCAAGTGTACAACCTCAGAGGCCTGCCCTTCAGCTGCTGATCGCTAATCAGCTCTTAATTAGCTCGGTGAGTGACGCAGAGATCATCGCCCACGAGCCCAGGGGATGGATAAAACCGCGCTGCCTTTCCCTGCCCGTTCCCTGCCAGTTCAGCCAGGGTATCCCGGGATACGCGGTGCCCAGAGGAGGGATAAACACGGCGCTGCCTTTCCCGGCTCGGTCCCTGCCAGCCGAGCCGGGGTATCCCGGGATACGCGGTGCCCAGAGGAGGGATAAACACGGCGCTGCCTTTCCCGGCTCGGTCCCTGCCAGCCGAGCCGGGGTATCCCGGGATACGCGGTGCCCAGAGGAGGGATAAACACGGCGCTGCCTTTCCCGGCTCGGTCCCCGCCAGTTCAGCCAGGGTATCCCGGGATACGCCGTGCCCAGAGGAGGGATAAACACCGCTCTGCCTTTCCCGGCTCGGTCCCTGCCAGCCGAGCCGGGGTATCCCGGGATACGCGGTGCCCAGAGGAGGGATAAACACGGCGCTGCCTTTCCCGGCTCGGTCCCTGCCAGCCCGAGCCGGGATATCCCGGGATACACCGTGCCCAGGGGATGGATAAACACCGCGCTGCCTTTCCCAGCCCGGTCCCTGCCCCCCAGCCCGGTCCCTGCCAGCCGAGCCGGGATATCCCGGGATACACCGTGCCCAAGGGACGGATAAACACCGCTCTGCCTTTCCCAGCCCATTCCCTGCCAGTTCACCCGGGGTATCCCGGGATACACCGTGCCCAGGGGATGGATAAACACCGCGCTGCCTTTCCCAGCCCGGTCCCTCCCACCCCAGCCGGGGTATCCCGGGACACGCAGCTGCTCGGGGCACAGACAGCAGCCGGGATCCTGCCACGGGACCCCCGGTGGCCACCAGCACCGTGGCCAAGTGGCCACCGGACACCGAGCCCCAGCATTGCACCGCCTTTATTGAGCACGTTCTCCAGGGCCTGAGACACCCACGGGCCGTGTCCCCTCTCTGGTGGCCATCAGGGGGTCCCGCTGGCCGGGATGGGCAGGAAGAAGCCAAGGATGGTGTCGGACATCCAGGCCGGGCAGTAGCTGAGGGGGAGGAAGATGAGGCAGGCATCCCAGCCGGCGGCGTAGCGGCTGCGGGGGCAGCGGGACAGCAGCGCGTGTGCCATGGCATCGGTGACGTGCGACAGCCGGGAGCTGCTCAGGCGGTGCAGCAGCGTGGTGCTCTTGGCATCTGGGTGGGCAGAAAGGGGTCAGCGAGACGGAGGTGGGGTCAGCGGGGCTGGCGGTGCGATGTGGGGATGGACTCACATCTGTCCAGGTAGTGGCGGCCGTAAGCTGCCTGGGTTTCTGCCGGGAGCCGCTCCCAGAGGCGAACGAAGCCCTCCACCAGCGGGGCGGGGTCGATCATTCCCGTCTGGAAGCCTCCAGGCTCGATGATGGAGACCTGCACCCCGAAGGGACCCAGCTCCCGCCTGCCCGAGGTGGGGGCGTCAGCGGGAGCTGCTGCCCCGAGGAGGGCAGAGATCGGGGGGCAGCGAGGGGCTGCTCGTGGCACACCCCAGGCGTTCTGTCACGGGCACAGGGGAACTTTGTCCTTGCTCCAGGGACCCTCTTGGATCCTGAGACAACCCCGAGCCTCGGCACCCCGGGACCCCTCTGGATCCCGGGATCTTGGAATCCCCCTGAACCTCAGTGCCTCGGGAACACCCCAGAGCCCGGAGCATTCCTAGATCCCGGGATTTCCCCGAATTTCAGCACCCTGGGACTCCCCTGGACACCAGAACCAAAGACCCTGGGACACCCCGGGATCTCCCGGACTGGTCCATCCCCCCCACTCCAGGATCTTTCCAGAGCTTTGCTCCAGAACTCCTTGAAACCCTTCCCCTGGTTGCACACCCACGGCTCCAGCCCTGCCCACGCTCCCACCCCGCTTGTGGTCAGGGTTTCACAAACTCTCTGGGGAAAATGTAACCGGGAATAAAAACATAAATAAAACCCTGCCAGAAGACAGCGAGGCAACACCGGGAGAGCTCCGTGGGCAGCCCCAGCCGTACCTCAGGCTGTCAGAGAAGGCTTCCACGCCGAATTTGGAGATGCAGTAGCCTCCACCGAAACAGGACACGCGGCCCATCACGCTGGCCACGTTGACCACGCGGCCCCGCGATGTGCCAGTAAACATTTGCCACATTTTGACGGGTTGGGAACAAAGCAAAACTCGGGGCAGCAGGGCCATGTCCTGCAGGATCTTGAACACAGGCAATGTCCACAGCAGAGGCTCTGAGCCCGCATCTCCCATGGCATGCAGCCTGGTGCCAGAGGTGTGAAACAGAGCCAGACCATGCCAGTGGACCCTGTGCCAGCCTGGCACGTGGCTGAGATGGTGTGTGCGGAACATCCCCGAGCCCGGGACATCCCCGCGCCCGCCCCCGGATCACGGGACTACCCCGGGAACCTCCCAGATCCTGGGACCACCCCGAAAGCCCCCCCGCACTTCAGCACCCCAAGGTCTACCGGACCCCGGGACAACCCAGGATCGCCCGTCCAGGGACCCACCCGGACCCCGGGACAATCCCGGACAGCCCCTCCTGGGACCCCCTTGGACCCCGGGATACCCTCACGCTCCCGGACCTCTCGGATCCCGGGATACCCCCGGACACCGGGACATCCCGGGACCTCAGCGCTCCGGACCCGGGACATTGCAGGACCCCCAAATCCCCCCCTAACAGCAGCGCCCCGGCTCCCACCAGCCTCGGGACCCCCTCGGACCCCGGGACATCCCCAGACAGCACCCCGCCACCCTCCCGGTTCCGGGACTCCTCGGACCTCTCCACGACCACCCCCGGACCTCACGACCCCAGACCCCGGGACCCCGGGGCATCCCCTCCCCTCCATCCCGGGACTTCTCCGGTGCTTTGCTCTCCTCCCACTCCCCCCGAGCCGCGGCACCCCCGGTTCCCGGTGCCTCCCGCCCCCGTGACCGGGGACCGGACTACAACTCCCGGCGGCCCCCGGGCCCGGCGCCGCCGCCGCTTCCCGCCGCCTCGCTCCGCTCCGTTCCCGCCATGGCGCAGTTCGAGCCGGCGGCGCTGCCCGAGCTGCTCCCGGTCTTCTACCGGCGGCTCTTCCCGCACGGCCCCTACGGCCGCTGGCTCAGCTACGGCGGCGGTGAGCGGGGGGGAACCGGTACCGGGCGGGGGGCACCGTCGGGGATGCGGCGATACCGGGCGGGGGCATCGATACCGGACGAGGGGCGTCGATACCGAGCCGGGGCACCGGTACCGGGCGGGGGCTCCACCGGGGATGCGGTACCGGACGGGGGTATTGATACGGGACTGGGGCCAGCGATACCCGGGCCGGGAGCATCATCAGGGGCACCGATACCGGGCGGGGCATTGATACCGGGCGGGGGGCACCGATACCGAGCCGGGGCACCGATACCGGGCGGGGGGCACCGATACCGAGCCGGGGCATTGATACCGGGCGGGGGGCACCGATACCGAACCGGGGCATTGATACCGGGCGGGGGGTACCCATACCGAACGGGAGGTACCGATACCGGGCCGAGGCACCGATACTGGGCGAGGGGTACCGATACCGAACGGGGGGTACCGATATCGGATGGGGGGCACCGATACCGGCCGGGGGCACTGATACAGGGGGAGAGGCACCGATACCGGGCAGGGGGCACTGATACAGGGGGAGAGGGACCGATACCGGGTGGGAGGCACCGATACCGGCCGGGGGGCACCGATACCGAGCCAGGGCACCGATACCGGGCAGGGGGCACTGATACAGGGGGAGAGGCACCGATACCGGGTGGGAGGCACCGATACCGGCCGGGGGGCACCGATACAGGGGGAGAGCACCGATACCGGGCGGGGGCCACCCATACCGAGCCAGGGCACCGATACCGGGCAGGGGGCACTGATACAGGGGGAGAGGCACCGATACCGGGTGGGAGGCACCGATACCGGCCGGGGGGCACCGATACCGAGCACCGCCTCCCCAGGCAGGCGCACGCCGGGCTGCCGGGGCGGGCGGTGCCTGGATGCACCGACCGGGACACCGGGAGGAGCGGGGAAGGGCGGGTCTGGGGGTGACTTTAATGGGGGATTTAGGATGGCATTGACCCCCCCCCGCGACCCTCCCCGTGTCCCTGCAGCGAAGAATTACTTCCAGCTGCGGGAATTCTCTTTCACGCTGCGGGACGATGTCTACCTGCGCTTCCAGTCCTTCAGCAGCCCGCAGGAGCTGGAGCGGGAGCTGCAGAAGATCAACCCCTACAAAATCGACATCGGGGCTGTCTACTCCCACCGGGTGAGTCCTGCCCGCCGTGCTGGGGGGGGGTCTGCGGGGGTCTCCGGTGGCTTTGAGCCCATCCCGTCCCTCCTCAGCCCAACCAGCACAACACGGTGCACCTGGGAGCCTTCCAGCCGCAGGAGAAGGAGCTGGTGTTCGACATCGACATGACGGATTACGACGATGTCCGGACGTGCTGCAGGTTCCCCCGGGGGTCTCTGGGGCTGGGAGGGGGTTCAGGGATGGGGGGCGTCCAGCTGACGCCCCTCACTCTGCCCCCAGCTCGGCCGATATCTGCTCCAAGTGCTGGACGCTGATGACCATCGCCGTGCGCATCATCGACCGCGCGCTCGTGGGTGAGGGGCTCGGGGGCACACGGGGAGCCCGGCTGGGCACGTGGAGACCCCGCAGCGGTGCCCAGACCCCCCAAAGAATTCACAGAATGAGCAGTTTGGAAGAGGGCTTTAAGATCATTGAGTCTAACCCGGCCCCAGCAGCTCAACTAAGTGCCACGTCCAATCTTGGTTTAAACACATCCAGGGTTGGTGACTCCACCGCCTCCCCAGGCAGAACATTCCAGAACTTTATCACCCTTTCTATAAAAAAAACTTTTTCTTAATATCCGACCTAAATTTCCCTTGGCACAGCTTGAGGCTGTGTGCTCTGGTTCTGGAGAAAGAGACCGACCCCCTCTGTGGGAAATGGATGTGTGGAAAATTCTAGAAGTTCACGTAGCGTGTGTTTGTGTGTAAATGTTAGATAAATGAGATAAGGAATGGTGGCTTAGAGATGTAGAATAGGAGGGGTGTTGTCGAGAGAAATTGAATTGGAGATAAGTTTGAAAGGATGGTCTTGTAATTAAGGTTAGATATTGTGGAGAAATAGAACTGTGAAAGGTGTGATGTGGGTTTGTGGCAGCATCAGATTTGGGTGGTCAGCACAGCATGTCCCAATGTGGCCCCCAAAATCCATCTGTGCCCCCCCAAACCCATCTGTGCCTCTCTTAAACCCATCTGTGCCAATCCAAACCCATCTGTGCCAATCCAAACCTATCAGTGCCCCCCCAAAATCCATCAGTACGCCCCCAAATCTGTCTGTGCCCCCCCAAACCCATCTGTGCCCCCCCAAAACCCATCTGTGCCCCTCTTAAACCCATCTGTGCCCCCCCAAAACCCATCTGTGCCAATCCAAACCCATCTGTGCCAATCCAAACCTATCAGTGCCCCCCCCAAAACCCATCATCACCCTCCAAAACCCATCTGTGCCCCCCCAAAACCCATCAGTACCTTCCCAAACCCATCTGTGCCCCCCAAAACCCATCTGTACCCCCCCAAACCCCCTGTGTGCCCCCCAAACCCCATGTGTGCCCCCCCAAAACCTACCAGTACCCCCCCAAACCCCCTGTGTGCCCCCACAGAGGACCTGGGCGTGCGGCACCGCCTGTGGGTGTACTCTGGCAGGAGGGGTGTGCACTGCTGGGTGTGCGACGACGCCGTCAGGAAATGGTCCCCAGCACTGAGGGCAGCCACTGTGGAGTACCTAAGCCTGGTGAAGGTGGGTTTGGGTACCCCCTGAGCCTGGTGAAGGTGGGTGCCAGGGGGTTTGGTACCCCCTGAGCCTGGTGAAGGTGGGTGCCAGGGGGTTTGGTACCCCTGAGCCTGGTGAAGGTGGGTTTGGGGGGGTTTGGTACCCCCTGCCCCTAGAGCAGGTGGGTTTGAGGGGATTTGTGTACCCCCTGATCATGGTGAAGGTGGGTTTGGGGGGTTTGGGTACCCCTGAGCCTGGTGAAGGTGAGTTTGGGGGGGTTTGGTACCCCCTGAGCCTGGTGAAGGTGGGTGCCAGGGGGTTTGGGTACCCCTGAGCCTGGTGAAGGTGGGTTTGGGGGGGTTTGGGTACCCCCTGATCATGGTGAAGGTGGGTGCCAAGGGGGTCTGGGCACCCCCTGCCCCTGCAGCAGGTGGGTTTGGGGGGTCTGGGCACCCCCTGCCCCTGCAGCAGGTGGGTTTAGGATGCCCAGCCCCCCTTGCCCACCCCCCAAAAGTGACCCCTCTGTCCCCCAGGGCGGAGCAGACACGGTGAAGAAGGTGAACCTCTCCCACCCCGTGCACCCCTTCATCAGGTGGGTCAGCACCTGCCAGATTAAACCTGTTTTTGACCCAAAATTGGGACAACTGAGAGGCATTTTAAAAAACTTTTATTCTATTTTCAGTCTCACGTGAAGGGTGGGACAATACAGATGTTAAAATTCACGCTGATGTTATAATATTTTTGTTTTATATATATATATAAAATTCACCCTGGCTAAAGGAGCTTTGCAAAATAGGTTTATTTACATTGATTGTAGTGGTTTTGGTTTGTTAATTTTAGATTTCTTTTTAATTTTGAGATTTTTAAAATTAATGTGTTGATGAGCGTGGTGGGTTTTTATTGTTGGCCAATCAGCAATTTATTTCTTGTGAGATAGGATCAGGAGAAAGGTAAAGTTGGCTTAAAAGTTTAAAAGGGTATAAAGAAAAATTTATTAACAGCAATTAAAAGAAAAAAACAGGAAGAATTAAACCAAATTTTTTAGAATGCTTCTTAGAAAAGGTTTCTATACATTAATTGTTACAGTGACAGTGTTGGTGTACTTCACTGTAAAAAAAAAAAAAACACATCAAAGAAGTTTTTTCCTTTCAAGAGAGAGGGGGAAATTAATTTGTGTTAAATTAATTTGTATTTAAATGTTAGTGTACTTCACTGTAAAAAAAACCAAAAACATCAAAGAAGTTTTTTCCTTTCAAGAGAGAGGGGGAAATTAATTTGTGTTAAATTAATTTGTATTTAATTAATTAATCTGCATGCAAACCTTGGGATAAGAAATGCCATGGAATGGGACAGACAGAGCTGAGAGAGAAACGGAGCTAAAAACAAATTTCAAAGCGTGGCCTGGCAAATAAACCCAGATATTTTGGAGAAACACAGCTGTGAAAGATGAATTTTAGGGGCAAATTTAAATTATTGGACTTAAGGCATTTACAGCACGCTGTGGCAAAAGCTGACAGGACAAAAATGCTCATTATGCATTGTAATTAAGAAATAATGAACTTCTAATCGTGATGGCGTGAATTACGACATCTGCATTGTCCCACCCTTGACGTGGGACTTAAAAACGGAATAAAAGCTTTTAAAAATCCTCTCGGCTGCCCCATATTTGGGCCCAAAAAAAGCCCTTTTTGCCCAACTTTGGGCGCTGTCCCGCAGGCGCTCGGTGGCCGTGGTGCAGAAATATTTCGAGGAGCACGCGCTGAGGGGCCAGGACATCCTGGGCAGCCCCGAGAGGTGGGACAAGGTGCTGGCCCTGCTCCCAGAGGGTATCCTTCCTGCCTGGGGGGTTAAAATGGGGGGAAAAGATGGGGTTAAAATTAAAATATGGGGGGTTAAAATAGGGGTTAAAATATGGAGTTGAAATGGGGTTAAAATAGGGGGTTAAAGTTGAAAAATGGGGTTAAAAGCTGGGGTTAATATGGGGGGTCAAAGTTAAAATATAGGGTTGAAAGATGGGGTTAAAGTTGAAATATGGGTGAAAAGATGGGGTTAAAGTCGAAATACAGGGTTAAAAGATGGGGTTAAAATATGGGGTTAAAGTTAAAAGATGGGGTTAAAGTTGAATATAAAAGGTGGGGTTGAAGTTGAAATACAGCTTTAAAAGATGGGGTTAAAATAGGGGGTTAAAGTTAAAATGGGGGGTTAAAATAGGGGGTTAAAGCTGAAATATGGGGTGGAAGCATGGGGTTAAAATTAAAATATCAGGTTAAAATGGGGGTTAAAATGAGGGTAAAGTTAAAATATGGGGGGTTAAAATAGGGGTTAAAATATGGAGTTGAAATGGGGTTAAAATAGGGGGTTAAAGTTGAAAAATGGGGTTAAAAGCTGGGGTTAATATGGGGGGTCAAAGTTAAAATATAGGGTTGAAAGATGGGGTTAAAGTTGAAATACGGGGTTAAAATAGGGGGTTAAAGTTGAAATATGGGGTTAAAATATGGGGTGAAAGCATGGGGTTAAAATTAAAATATCAGGTTAAAATGGGGGTTAAAATGGGGTTAAAGTTAAAATATGGAGTTAAAATAAGGGGTTAAAACAGGGGGTTAAAGTTGAAATATGGGGTTAAAAGCTGGGGTTAATATAGGGGGTCAAAGTTAAAATATGGGGTTAAAGTAAAATATGGGGTAAAATGGGGTTAAAGCATGCGGTTAAATTAAAATAGGGGGTTAAAACAGAGGGTTAAAAATGGGGTTTAAAATATGTGGTTAAAGTTGAATAGATGGGGTTAAAAGATGGGGTTAAAGTTAAAATATGGGGTTAAAGTAAAATATGGGGTAAAATGGGGTTAAAGCATGCGGTTAAATTAAAATAGGGGGTTAAAACAGAGGGTTAAAAATAAAATATGGGGTTAAAGTTAAAATATGGGGTTAAAATAGGGGGTTAAAGTTAAAATAGGGGTTTAAAATATGTGGTTAAAGTTGAATAGATGGGGTTAAAAGATGGGGTTAAAGTTAAAATATGGGGTTTGCATGGGGTTAAAGTTGAAAGATGGGGTTAAATAATGGGGTGAAAGTTAAAATGGGTTAAAATATGGGGTTGAAGTTGAAAGATGGGGTTAAAATGGGGTTAAAAAACGGGTTAATGCTGAAAGATGGGGTTAATATAGGGGTCAAAGTTAAAATATGGGGTTGAAAGATAGGGTTAAAGTTAAAAGATGGGGTTAAAATTGAAATATGGGGTTAAAAATGGGGTTAAAATTGGGTTAAAGTTAAAATAGGGGGTTAAAGCATGGGTTAAAATTAAAATATGGGGTTAAATTTGGGGTTAAAAGTAAAATATGGGGTTAAAAATGGGGTCCTGGAAGGGTAAAACAGATTTTGTAAGGGTAAGTGGGGTCCTGGAAGGGTAAGTTGGGTCCTGGAAAGGCTGAATGGGATCCTAGAAGGATAAATGGGGTCCTGGAAGGGTAAAAGGGGTCCTGGAAGGGTAAATGGGAATCCCAGAAGGGTAAATGGGACTCTGGAAAGGGTAAAACAGATCCTGAAAGGGTAAATGGGGTCCTGGAAGGGTACATGGGATCCTGGAAGGGTAGATGGGATCCTAGAAGGGTAAATGGCATCCTTGAAGGGTAAAAGGGGTCCTGGAAGGATAAATGGAATCCTAGAAGGGTAAAATGGGGTCCTGGAAGGGTAAAACGGATCCTGGAAGGGTAAATGTGATCCTGGAAAGGCTAAATGGGATCTTAGAAGGGTAAATGGGACCCTAGAAGGGTAAAAGGGGTCCTGGAAGGGCAAATGGAATCCTGGAAGGGTACATGGGATCTTGTAAGGATAAATGAGATCCTGGAAGGGTAAAAGGGGTCCTAGAAGGGCAAATGGGATCCTGGAAGGGCAAATGGAATCCTGGAAGGGTACATGGGATCTTGTAAGGATAAATGAGATCCTGGAAGGGTAGTCTTGGAAGGGTAAATGGGATCCTGGAAGGGTAAAAGGGGTCCTAGAAGGGCAAATGGGATCCTGGAAGGGCAAATGGAATCCTGGAAGGGTACATGGGATCTTGTAAGGATAAATGAGATCCTGGAAGGGTAAATGGCATCCTAGAAGGGTAAATGGGGTCCTGGAAGGATAAATGGGATCCTAGAAGGGTAAAAGGGGTCCTGGAAGGGTAAAACGGATCCTGGAAGGGTAAAAGGGGTCCTGGAAGGATAAATGGGATCCTGGAAGGGCAAATGGGATCCTGGAAGGGTACATGGGATCTTGTAAGGGTAAATGAGGTCCTGGAAGGGTAAATGGGACTCTGGAAAGGATAAAACAGATCCTGAAAGGGTAGATGGGGTCCTGGAAGGGTAAATGTAATCCTGGAAGGGTAGATGGGATCCTAGAAGGGTACATGAGATCTTGTAAGGATAAATGGGATCCTGGAAGGGTAAATGGCATCCTAGAAGGGTAAATGGGGTCCTGGAAGGGTAAAACGGGTCCTGGAAGGGTAAAATGGATCCTGTAAGGATAAATGGGATCCTAGAAAGGTAAAAGGGGTCCTGGAAGGGTAAAACGGATCCTGGAAGGGTAAATGGCATCCTAGAAGGGTTAAAGGGATCCTGGAAGGGTAAAACGGATCCTGGAGAGGCCAAACGGCAAAACAAAGGGAAAAGGCAGCGCCGGGGGGCCGGTCCTTGACCCCGGCAGAGCTGCGGGAGCCGCTGCGGGCGGAGTTCCCGCGGAAGAAGGACTCGGCGCAGCGCTGGGAGCTGCTGCGGGCGCGCGCCGAGCGCGAGCGCGAGCGCGGCCGGCCCGGCCACCCCGAGTGGGAGGTGATGCTGCAGCTCTGCTTCCCTCGCCTGGACTGCAACGTCAGCAAAGGGCTGGGCCACCTGCTCAAGAGCCCCTTCAGCGTGCACCCCAAAACAGGTGAGGGGCTCTGGGGGCGCTGCCGTGCCGACAGAGGGGCAAAATTATCGTTTGTCCCCCCCAAAAAATGAGAGAAGGCCAGGAGGTTCTTCCATCAGTTTAAAGCCACCTCGTAGGGGCCAAGAGGATTCACCTCAAATTTAAGGGCGTTGATTTACCTCAAATTTAAGGGCATTGATTCACCTCAAATTTAAGGGCGGCTAATTGGGTAGAAGCCAAAAAGTCCCCACCCGAGCAGTTGGGTGGGAAAAGAAAAAGGAGCTGGGGGTTTTTGGGAGGTGTTTTTGCCAGCGGAGCTCAGCACCCAGCTCGGGGTTTTCTGTTTGTTGTTTTGATTTTTGTTAAGCTTTTTTTTTTTGTTTTTTTGGCACTGCAGCAGAAGCAATCCTGCTTATTTTATGCCCTCAAGGGGTAAAATATACCCTTGAGGTGTGGGGTGTATCCACACCTTCATTAGCCAAACCAAATTCCAATATTCAGATCCAAACACTGATCTTTTGTTAAACCTTTTTTTTAAACCTTTTGTTTACCTTTTTTTTTGTTTTCTGACACTGCAGCAGAAGCAATCCTGCTTATTTTATGCCCTCAAGGGGTAAAATATACCCTTGAGGTATGTGGGGTGTATCCACACCTTCATTAGCCAAACCAAATTCCAATATTCAGATCCAAACACTGATCTTTTGTTAAACCTTTTTTTTAAACCTTTTGTTTACCTTTTTTTTTGTTTTCTGACACTGCAGCAGAAGCAATCCTGCTTATTTTATGCCCTCAAGGGGTAAAATATACCCTTGAGGTATGTGGGGTGTATCCACACCTTCATTAGCCAAACCAGATTCCAATATTCAGATCCAAACACTGATCTTTTGTTAAACCTTTTTTTAAACCTTTTGTTTACCTTTTTTTAAACCCTTTTTTTTTGTTTTCTGACATTGCAGCAGAAGCAATCCTGCTTATTTTATGCCCTCAAGGGGTAAAATATACCCTTGAGGTATGTGGGGTGTATCCACACCTTCATTAGCCAAACCAAATTCCAATATTCAGATCCAAACACTGATTAGTTTAACCACAACCTCCCAAAAAAAAAACCTCACTTCCCTTCTCAGCCTACGACACTGAGATATCTTGGGTGTGTTATATTTTCTTCTGAGAGCTTATAGGAGCTGGCTTGAGGAAGAAAATGTAATAAGGGTCAGGAAGATGGGGGTCAGCGTGGTATTTTCTGGGAAATCCTCCTGTGGGGACCTCTGGGTGACACAAGACCCTGGCAGGAGGCCAGAGACACTTGGGATTTCGATTTTAACCCGTGGAGCAAATCACCAGCCCTGTGTGAAGAATGACAAGTCCCAGAAGTTTAAATAGAGTGATAGTGAATTAATCACCGGGTGAAAAATGGAATTTTGGGGTTTTTTTTTTGTCTAGGAGGCAAGAGGAAGGGATTTGGGTGTTGTCCTTCTTCTTCCCAGCCGCCATCTTCTGGGTGATGGTGGCACTCTTGGATTGGTCTAGAGTAGAAGTTGACAGTCTAACGTGGGAGATAGGAATTGGGAAATAATGATAAATAAAGTAGAAAATGCAGATATTTGTGGTATAAAATGATATTATTAATATAATATTATTATATTATCTCACCCTTCAAATAAAGTGAGATAAAAAAATAGGAGACATAAAAACCCCAAATTCTTTAAAACACACCTCCCTTTGGCCAAGTCCCCTGAACCCACCCCTGTGTCCCAGGGCGCATCTCAGTCCCGCTGGACCTGCAGAAGCTCGAGCAGTTTGATCCGTTTTCAGTGCCCACCATCACGTACGTCAGCGGGGAGCTCGGGGGGTCCTGGTGCTGCCGGAGCCCCCCAGCACGTCCCAAACCCTAAACCTTAAACCCTAACCCTAAACCTTAAACCCTAACCCTAACCCTAACCCTAAACCTTAAACCCTAACCCTAACCCACCATCACGTACGTCAGCTGGGAGCTCGGGGGGTCCTGGTGCTGCCGGAGCCCCCCAGCACATCCCAAACCCTAAACCTTAAACCCTAACACTAACCCTAACCCTAACCCTAACCCAGCACGTCCCAAACCCTAACCCAAACCCCAAACCTTAAACCCTAACCCTAAACCCAAACCCTAAACCTTAAACCCTAACCCTAAAACTTAAACCTAACCAAAACCTTAAACCTAATCCTAAACTGAAACCTGACCCTGACCCTGACCCTAACCCTAAACATAAAACTAATCCTGAACTGAAACCTGACCCTAACCCTAACACTGACCCTAAACCTTACCCTAAACCTAACAATAAACTTAACCCAAACCTTAAACCTGACCCTGACCCTAACCCTGATCCTTACTCTAACCCTAACCTCAACCCTGAACCCAGCCCTAACATTAACCCTAACCTTAAACCTGACCCTAACCCAACCCTGACCCTAAACTTGACCCCAAACGTGACCCTGACCCTAACATTAACCCTGACCCTAAACCTGACCCCAACCCTAACCCTGACCCTGACCCTAAACCTAACCCTAATCCTGACCCTGACCCTAACATTAACCCTAACCCTAAACCTGATCCTAACTCTAACCCTGACCCTAATCCTAACACTGACCCTGACTCTAACATTAACCCTGACCCCAACCCTTACCTTAAACTTGACCCCAAACCTGACCCTGACCCCTAACCCTGACTGTAACCCCTAATCCTCACCCTAACCCGAACCCCTAATCCTCACCCTGACTCTAAACCCGACCCCAACCCCAAACCCTGACCCCAAACCCCACCCCTGACCCCAAACCCCATCTCTGACCCCAGACAGTAATCCTGACCCCAAACCCTGATCCCAAACCCCATCTCTGACCCCAGACAGTAATCCTGACCCCAAACCCTGATCCCAAACCCCATCCCTGACCCCAAACCCTGTTCCCAAACCCCCTCCCTGACCCCGTCCCCATGCTGTGGTCCCCAGGTCGCTGTGCCAGGAGCTGGACGCGGCCGGCAGCGATGGCGAGCAGGAGGAGGGGGGGCACACCGAGCCCAAACGGCGCACGAGGGGTCAGAGGGGCGGCTGTGGGGTCGGGATGGGTCAGGGGTGGGGTTTGGGGTCAGGGATTGGGGTCAGGGATGGGATAAAATGCGGATATTTGTAGTATAAAATGCAGATATTTGTAGTATAAAATGCAGATATTTGTGGTATAAAATGCAGATATTTGTGGTATAAAATGCAGATATTTGTAGTATAAAATGCAGATTTTTGTGGTATAAAATGCAGATATTTGTAGTATAAAACACAGACACCAGCCCAGGGGCGGGCAGTGTGCCCGTGACAGAGCTGCAGAGCACAACTCTGCGGGTCTGAGAGAAAATATTTTAGATAAAAGATGCTAAACATTATTGATAAACATTATTGATAAACATTATTGATAAACATTATTGTGAGCCACAGCCAAAGAATCCTGACTTGCTTTGACCAGGCTGGGAAAAAGAGACTCCGGGGTCATCCCAACAGCAGGAAACCCAAGAGCTCTTTGCCCAGGGTTCTCCTGGGAAGATGAGAAGGCTCGGAGAGAAAATTAAATTAATGAAAATTAAAATTATCTGGTTGTTTCTCCTGGGTTTTGATGCCTTGGAGGTTGTTCAGCAGCTGGTCGTTGTTTGATTGGTTTTATGTGAATTGTTTTAACTTAATGAGATGCTAAACATTATTGATAAACATTATTGATAAACATTATTGATAAACATTATTGTGAGCCACAGCCAAAGAATCCTGACTTGCTTTGACCAGGCTGGGAAAAAGAGACTCCGGGGTCATCCCAACAGCAGGAAACCCAAGAGCTCTTTGCCCAGGGTTCTCCTGGGAAGATGAGAAGGCTCGGAGAGAAAATTAAATTAATGAAAATTAAAATTATCTGGTTGTTTCTCCTGGGTTTTGATGCCTTGGAGGTTGTTCAGCAGCTGGTCGTTGTTTGATTGGTTTTATGTGAATTGTTTTAAGTTAATGATCAGTCATGGTCCTGTTGTGTGGGGCTCTGAGGAGTCAGTCATGAGGTTTTGTTACTCATTGTTGTAAGATTTCTGATGTATCCTTTCTCTATTCTTTAGTGTTGTTTTAGTATAGTATTCTATAATATTCTGTAATATAATATTCTATATTATAATATTCTATAATATAATATTGAGTCTCTCACTGAGTTTTGGGGTCTGTCCCGCTGGATTTGGGGGTTTCTCATTGGGTTTGGGGTCTGTCCTGTTAGATTTGGGGGTCTCTCATTGGATTTGGAGGTCTCTTGTTGGGTTTGGGGTCTGTCCTGTAGGATTTGGGGTCTTTCATTGAATTTTGGGTGTCTGTCCCATTGGATTTGGGGTCTGTCCCTCTGGATTTGGGGTCCCCCATTGGATTTGGGGGTCTCTCACTGAATTTTGGGGGTCTGCCCCACTGGATTTGGGGGTTTCTCATTGGGTTTGGGGTCTGCCCTGCTGGATTTGGGGGTCTTTAATTGAATTTTGGGGGTCTGCCCTGTGGGATCTAGGGGTCTGTCCCATTGGATTTGGGGTCTCCCATTGGGTTTGGGGGTCTCTCACTGAATTTTGGGGTCTGTCCTGCTAGATTTGGGGGTCTCCCATTGTGTTTGGGGGTCTTTAATTGAATTTTGGAGGTCTGCCCTGTGGGATCTAGGGGTCTGTCCCATTGGATTTGGGGTCTCCCATTGGGTTTGGGGGTCTCTCACAGAATTTTGGGGTCTGTCCTGCTGGATTTGGGGTCTGCCCCATCAGACCTGGGACCACGAGGTGACAGGCAGGGACACGAGGAAGGAGCTGAGCGATGGCTGTTGCTGTGACATTTGTTTTTTCTGTAAAAACCTTCACAAAACCTCCCCATTTCTCCTTTTTTTGCAGATCTCCAAGGAGATTTCTGAGCCCTGGGCCCTGCCAGTGTCTCCTGTGCTGTCACTGTCACCTCCCCTGGCCCTGGGGGGTCCCATGGGGCAGCCAAACCCCTCGGCCCCCCTGTTTTTGTACCTTTTGTACTGTTTTCTACACAAAAAACCATTAAATGTTTCTGCTCAGCTTTGTGCTGGGGGCTGCTGAGGAGGGTGGGGGCGGGGGTCCCTGCTCTGCAGTGTGGGGTCGCTGCCCCCAATCTCCTGCCTGGACCCTGACCCCCAACTATGCCTGGACCCCCTGATCCTGCCTGGACCCCCTGATCCTGCCTGGACCCCCTGATCCTGCCTGGACCCCCTGATCCGGCCCCGAGCAGATCCCGGAACGCCGGAGCGCGGCCGCGGGGGCCGGGCCGGACCGTGTTGCCGGCTTCTCCCCCTGCCCCGGAAGTCCCGCGCTCCCGGAAGTCGCGCTGCCCTCTCGGTCTCTTTCCGCCGCCATCTTGGGCCCCGCTCCCCGCACAGTGAGTCCCGCGCCGCCATCCGCCGCCATCCACCGCCATCCGCCGCTCAGGGCGCCGCTCACCGCTAGCGGGATGAGCGGGTGGCCGGGAGGGCCCGGTTGAGGCCATCGATGGGGTCGTGGGCGCGCCGGGCAGGGCAGAAGGGGCGGCCCCGCGCACCGGCGGAGGGGGGGGAGGAGGCGGCCTAGGCCCGGGAGCGGGATCGGGATCGGGCTCTGCCTGTGCCGTACGGCCGAGCTGTGTCGGTAGATCCTCCCGGTAGTGGGAGGCGCGCGGTGTCCCAGCGGGGTGGGCAGGACGAGTTACCGGCGGTGGCCCCCGGGCTGTCCCGGAGCCCCGGCGAGCCCGGGCCTGTCGGTTTGTCCGTTCCCGTAGAAATGCCCGGCGAAGCCACAGAAACCGTCCCGGCCACGGAGCAGGAGCTGCCGCAGCCGCAGGCGGAGACAGGTGAGGCCCGGGGGGTGCTCCGGGGCGGTTTTGGGGGTGATTCCCGGGATTCCCTCACCGGGCCGGGAGCCGGTGGTGGCGGGGGTTGTGTGACCCCGGTTTGAGTCTTGTCACGTCCCCCGCGGGGGTTTTGGGGCGTCCGTTCCGTGGTCTCGGTGTGGCCAAACAAACCGGGCCGGTTCTGTGGTTCCCGCGGGGAACGGGACCGGAGACAGCGGAGCGGGGACTCCTCGTGTCCCAAAGCCCCGGGACCGGGACCGGGGACGGCTCCGAGCTCGGTTTGGGTGGGAGGGGAGGGCAGCGGCCGTGGCCAGGGCGGGGTGTTGGGTTGGGGGTCTTGTCCTGTGGGATTTGGGGTCCTGTGGGATTTGGGGTCCTGTCCCATTGGATTTGGGCTCCTGTGGGATTTGGGGTCCCGTCCCGCTGGATTTGGGGTCCTGTCCTGTGGGATTTGGGGACCTGTCCCCTGGGATTTGGTGTCATTTGGGATCTTGTCCTGTGGGATTTGGGGACATGTGCCACTGAACTTGGGATCCTGTCCCACGGGATTTGGGGTCCTGTCCCCTTGGATTTGGGATCCTGTCCCACTGGATTTGGGGTCCTGTCCTGTGGGATTTGGGATCCTGTCCCCTTGGATTTGGGATCCTGTCCCATTGGATTTGGGATCCCGTCCCGCTGGATTTGGGGTCCTGTCCTGTGGGATTTGGGGACCTGTCCCCTGGGATTTGGTGTCATTTGGGATCTTGTCCTGTGGGATTTGGGGACATGTGCCACTGAACTTGGGATCCTGTCCCACGGGATTTGGGGTCCTGTCCCCTTGGATTTGGGATCCTGTCCCACTGGATTTGGGGTCCTGTGTCGTTGGATTTGGGGTCCTGTCATGTGGGATTTGGGATCCTGTGTCCCACGGGATTTGGGGTCCTGTCCCGATGGATTTGGGGTCCTGTCCCGATGGATTTGGGGTCCTGTCCCGATGGATTTGGGGTCCTGTCCCGATGGATTTGGGGTCCTGTCCCACTGGATTTGGGGTCCTGTCCTGCTGGACTTGAGGGTCTGCCCCATTAAACTTGGGGGTCTCTCACTGAATTTTGGGGGGGGTCTCCCCTTTGGATTTGAGGTATTTCATTGAATTTTGGGTTTTTGCCCCTTTGGATTTGGGGGTCTATCCCTCTGGATCTGGGGGGGTCTTTCATTGAATTTTGGACATCTGTCTTGTTGGATTTGGGAGTCTGTCACTGAATTTTTGGGGTCTGCCCCGTTGCATTTGGGGGTCTCGCACTGAATTTTTGGGATCTGCCCTGTTGCATTTGGGGGTCTCTCACTGAATTTTTGGGGTCTGCCCTGTTGCATTTGGGGGTCTCACTGAATTTTTGGGGTCTGCCCTGTTGCATTTGGGGGTCTCTCACTGAACTTTGGGGGTTTGCCCCATTGCCTTTGGGGGTCTCTCACTGAATTTTTGGGATCTGCCCCATTGCATTTGGGGGTCTCTCACTGAACTTTGGGGGTTTGCCCCATTGCATTTGGGGGTCTCTCACTGAATTTTTGGGATCTGCCCCGTTGGATTTGGGGATCTCTCACTGAATTTTTGGGGTCTGCCCTGTTGCATTTGGGGGTCTCTCACTGAACTTTGGGGGTTTGCCCCATTGCGTTTGGGGGTCTCTCACACGATGTGGGCACTGTCCCATTGGGGACCCCCCACTGAGGCTTGGTGACAGAGAGGGGACACAAGGAGGGAGCTGAGTGATGGCTGCTGCTGTGACAGCTGCACCGATGATTCCCAGGAGCTGCTGAGCTCCTTATCCCTCCCGGCGTGGCTGGAATTCCTCTTTGGGGCCCTCTCCCTGGAGTGGCTCTCCTGTCCCTCTCAACTGACAGCTCCCAAAATTCTGCTGCTCGTGGGATTCCTCAGGCAGCTCCTTGGATTTCCTTGGAAGTCTCTGGAAAAACGCTGGAGATGTGAGGCTGGTGCACGCTGATCCAGAGGGGTTCTGGGCTGAAATCCCCTGGTTTTGGGGAATCCCTTAGCTTGGGATGTTTGAGAAGGACCCAAAGAAAGGTGGGGCTGTGAGGGAGAAGCAGGAATGATTGTGCTGATCAGGAATGTGCTCAGAAGGAACAGGGAGGGCAGGGATGAAGGATTGTTCTGGAAGGGGTTGCTCTGCACGGCCTGTTCCGTGCCCTTGGCAGCACTTGCTGCTCCTTTGGGAGGCACCGGGACGTTCCTTGGAGCAGGAAATGTCCTGGCACTGCTGTCCAGCTCCCATCCTTCCCACAGAGCCGTGGTTTGGGGTAAAATGGGGCATTAGCAGCGCTTTTCAGGACCCCATTCCTGAGGCAGGGACGGGGACGTCGTTCCCTGCATTCCGTGGGTGGCAGCAGGACCAGGACACGCCTGATCCCGGGGTGGGACAGGGACACAGCCCCTGGGAGGGACAGGATCCATGGAATGGGGCTGGCTCCGGGCCCTGCAGCTCGCCAGGGCGGCACCGTGCCCGGGCTGGTTCTGCTGGTTGGACCAGCACTGCCCTGCCCTGGATCTCTGCTGGGAGTGACACTGGGAATGTCAGGGATCTGCAGCCTTCAGGAGCTGGGAGCTGAACCCTCTCATGGCCTGTTCACTGAATGGTGCCCCTTGATTGCTGGTTGGAATTGGGAATGTCTCTCAAGGCTCTAAGCTCTGGTCAGGAGCTGGAAGTTCAGCCCTAGCATGGCCTCTTCCCTAAATGGTGCCCTTTGGTTGCTGGTTGGAATTTCTTTGGGAATGTCTCTCCAGGGCTCTCTGCAGGCTCTCTCAGGAGCTGGAAGCTCAACCCTCTCATGGTCTGTTCACTGAATGGTGCCCCTTGATTGCTGGTTGGCACTGGGAATTTCATTGGGAATGTCTCTCCAGGGCTCTCTCCAGAGCTCTCTCGAGGCTCTCAGCTCTGGCTCAGGAGCTGGAAGCTCAGCCCTGGCATGGCCTCTTCACTAAGTGGAAAGATTGCTGGTTGATTGCTGGTTGGCATTGGGAATTTAATTGTTTGCAGGCTCTCAACCATGGTCAGGAGCTGGAAGCTCAGCCCTGGCATGGACTCTTCCCTAAATGGTGCCCTTTGGTTGCTGGTTGGCATTGGGAATGTCAGGGCTCTCTGCAGGCTCTCAGGAGCTGGTAGCTGAACCCTCTCATGGCCTCTTCCCTTTGATTGTTGGTTGGCATTGGGAATTTCATTGGGAATGTCTCTCCAGGGCTCTCTCCAGAGCTCTCTCGAGGCTCTCAGCTCTGGCTCAGGAGCTGGAAGCTCAGCCCTGGCATGGCCTGTGGCCTGAGCAGTGCCCTTGGCTCAGCAGCTGGAGTTGGGAATGGCCAGGCTCTCTCCAGGCTCTCTCCAGGCTCTCTCCAGGCTCTCTCCAGGCTCTCTTGGACCGGGCTGGGGAGCTGGAAGCTGCTCCTGGTCAGTGGGACTTGCTTTAATGAACTGTTGTTCTCCCTGTTCAGCTCCAGCTGCCCCCGTTGCTGCTCCCATCCCTGCTCCAGGTACTCCTGTAACCCCTCGTGTGCCACATTAACCAGCGTGTGCCATTCCGGGGGTTGCATTCCATTAACCCTAACAGCTCCCAGGGAACTGGGGGGCCTGGCCCCACCACCCCCATGTCGTTGTGCCCTCAGGGCATCTGCCCATGTCACCCACAGCTGGAGGGAGGGGGCTCCCCGGGCACTCCAGGAAAAATTCCACATGCCAGTGGGTTTTATTTGACTTTCCCTTCCTCTTCTTGGGTGGATGCTTGTTCCCCCTTGCTCCCTGCAGCTCAGGGGGTGACCCCAGGCTCGTGAGAAGCCCTGGGTGTCCTGACAGACTTTTGGGGCTCCACAGGATTTGTGACAGTCCCTTTGGTAGGGCAGAGCTGGATCCCTGCATCCCTGGCCTGCTGGGGCTTCCTGGTGGTTCAGGGAGTGCCTCCTGCCATTCAGGGCTCTCAGGAAAATTGTGTTCTAGAAGGGGATGAACATCCTGCTCCGTGCTGACCCTGGCAGTGCCTGCTGGGCCAGAAGCCAGGCACAGAGGCCAGAGGAATGCCAGGGCTGGCCTCATGCCCCCCTCCCTGTGTCTCCTTCCCTCCTCTCATGGCTCACTCTGTTTCTCTCCTTTAGCTGTTCTTCATGCTGCTCATTCCCCACCTCTGACTCCATCTCCATCCGCCCAGGCACAGCTGCCCAGCACTGCCCCGGCTCTGCCAGGCCCCCCAGGCCCCGTGTCCCCCCCCGTGGTCCCAGCTGCAGCCATCCCCGTGTTCTCCATGCCCCCCCAGCCCCCTGCCCCACCTCTGCTGGGCCCAGGCACCGCTGCCCCTCCTCCAGCTCCGCAGGCCCCCGTGGGTTTTGCAGCCCCAGGATCTCCAGGGCCTGCCCCAGTTAGCCCAGTGTCCCCAGGATTCCCAGCTCCAGTGTCACCTGGCCTGGCTGCTGCTTCTGCTGCAGTGACAGTGGCCCCTCTTGTCCCCCCGGTGAGCCCCAGTTCTCTCCCAGCTGCTCTCACCTCTCCCATGAAAACTGCTCCTGCTGCAGCCTCTGTGGGAGCAGCCCCAGCCCCTCTCCCTGCCTCTGGAGCAGCCCCAGCCTCTCTCCCTGCCTCTGGAGCAGCCCCAGCCCCTCTCCCTGCCTCTGGAGCAGCCCCAGCTCCTTTCCCTGCCTCTGGAGCAGCCCCAGCCCCTCTCCCTGCCTCTGGAGCAGCCCCAGCTCCTTTCCCTGCCTCTGGAGCAGCCCCAGCTCCTCTCCGGCCTCCCCCATCCCGTCCCCTTCTGGCATCTCCCCCACCAGTGCCCCCCACCTTGCTGCCTGCTCCCACGGTGGCAGTGTCCCCTCAGAGTCCAGGATCACCCCCATTTCCCACAGTGTCTCCTGGAACTCCTGCTGTTCCAGCCTCTCCCCGAGCCCCAGCTCCAGCCCTGGTCGGTGCCATCTCTCCCCCTGTCTTCCTGGCTGCCCCCAAAGCTCCCTTGTCACCCCCTATCCCTCTGCTGGCAGCTGGGATGTCCCCTGGGCATCCTGCTGCTGGCCCAGCCCCTGGTGCCCCAGTCTCACCACTGCTCCCAGTTGTTCCTTCTGTTTCCAAGGCCTGTCCCCCAGCTGTGGGACATCCTGTCCCTCCCTTGGTGACAAGGACCCCCCCTGGGAGCGCAGCCCCTCAGGCAGCAGGAGCTGCAGTGCCTCCTGCCCTGTCCACACCTGCACTGGGAGCTGCCATCTCTGTCCCAGGGTCTCCAGTGAGCCCTGTGCTCCCAGCAGCAGCTCCTGTGCCTGCTGTCCCCTCTGCCAGCTGTCCCCCTGTCACTCTGGCCCTGGCAGCTCCAGCCACCCCTCCTGCAGCCAAAGCAGCTCCTCCAAGTCCAGCTGCTGCCCCTGTCACACCACCCATGGCAGCTCCAGCTGCCCCTCCTGCTACCAAACCAGCTCCTGGGAGCCCAGTTACTGCCCCAGCTGCCCCCTCTGTCCCTGTCACACCACCCATGGCACCTCTGGCCACCCCTGCTGTGGCTAAAACATCTCCTGCTGTCCCTGTCTCACCACCTGTGGCAGCTCCAGCTGCCCCTCCTGCAGCCAAAGCAGCTCCTGGGAGCCCGGTCACTGTCCCCTGTGCCCCTGTCACACCACCCGTGGCACCTGTGGCCACCCCTCCTGTGGCCAAACCAGCTCCCCCGAGTTCAGCCACTGTCCCCTGTGCCCCTGTCACACCGGCCACTGCAGCTCCACCCTCTCCAGCTGCCCCTCCCTCAGCCAAAGATGCTGCCAAGGGTTCTGTTGCTGCCTCAGCTGCCCCTCCAACTCCTCCCACCCCACCTGCAGCCAAAAGTGCCCCCAAGAGCCCTGGTGCTGCCACCCCATCCCCTGCCACCCCAGCTCCTGCAGCTCCACCAGCTCCAGCTGCACCCCCAGCCGCCAAAACACCCCCAAAGAGCCCTGCCACAGCCACCCCAGCTCCAGCCGCCCCCCCTGAGGACAAGGCACCCCCAAAGAGCCCTGCCACAGCCACCCCAGCTCCAGCCGCCCCCCCTGAGGACAAGGCACCCCCAAAGAGCCCTGCCACAGCCACCCCAGCTCCAGCCGCCCCCCCTGAGGACAAGGCACCCCCAAAGAGCCCTGCCACAGCCACCCCAGCTCCAGCCGCCCCCCCTGAGGACAAGGCACCCCCAAAGAGCCCTGCCACAGCCACCCCAGCTCCAGCCGCCCCCCCTGAGGACAAGGCACCCCCAAAGAGCCCTGCCACAGCCACCCCAGCTCCAGCCGCCCCCCCTGAGGACAAGGCACCCCCAAAGAGCCCTGCCACAGCCACCCCAGCTCCAGCCGCCCCCCCTGAGGACAAGGCACCCCCAAAGAGCCCTGCCACAGCCACCCCAGCTCCAGCCGCCCCCCCTGAGGACAAGGCACCCCCAAAGAGCCCTGCCACAGCCACCCCAGCTCCAGCCGCCCCCCCTGAGGACAAGGCACCCCCAAAGAGCCCTGCCACAGCCACCCCAGCTCCAGCCGCCCCCCCTGAGGACAAGGCACCCCCAAAGAGCCCTGCCAAAGCCACCCCAGCTCCAGCTTCCCCTGGAGCAGCCAAAAAGTCTCCCAAAGGCAGCCCCATCACTGCCTCCTCTAGTCCTGTGGCTCCAGCACCTTCAGCTGCCCCTGCTGAGGCCAAGGCACCCCCAAAGAGCCCTGACAAAGCCACCCCAACCCCTGCTGAGGCCAAAACACCCCCAAAGAGCCCTGACAAAGCTGCCCCTGCTGAGGCCAAAGCACCCCCAGAAAGCCCCATTACAGCCACCCCAGCTCCAGCTGCTCCTCCAGCAGCTAAAACACCCCCAAAGAGCCCTGCCAAAGCCACCCCAAACCCTGCTGAGGCCAAAACACCCCCAAAGAGCCCTGCCAAAGCCACCCCAACTTCTCCTGAGGCCAAAACACCCCCAAAGAGCCCTGCCAAAGCCACCCCACCCTCTCCTGAGGCTAAGACACCCCCAAAGAGCCCTGCCAAAGCCACCCCACCCTCTCCTGAGGTCAAGGCACCCCCAAAGAGCCCTGCCAAAGCCACCCCAGCTCCAGCCACCCCTGCTGAGGCCAAAACACCGCCGGCTCCTGCCCAAGTGCCTCCCAAGAGTCCTGCTACAGCCACCCCAGCTCCCAGTGCCCCTCCAGCTGCAAAAACACCCCCAAAGAGCCCTGCCAAAGCCCCCCCAGCTCCAGCAGCTCCTGCTGCAGCCAAAGGACCCTCAAAAAGCCCTGCTGAGGCCAAGGCACCCCCAAAGAGCCCTGTCAAGGCCACTCCTCCTCCAGCCACCCCTGCTGATGCCAAGGCACCCCCAAAAAGCCCTGTCAAAGCCACTCCTCCTCCAGCCACCCCTGCTGCAGCCAAAGGAGCCTCAAAAAGCCCCGCTGAGGCCAAGGCACCCCCAAAAAGCCCTGTCAAAGCCACAGCAGCTCCAGCCACACCCCCAGCTCCTGCCCCAGCCACGGGCATTTCTGGTGCCCCCCCAAAACCCCCAACCCCCGCCAAAAAGCAGCAGCAGCCCCTCCCCAATAACAAGGTGGCCAAACCAGCCACTCGCCCCCCCTCGAAAGCCGCGCCCGGCGCTGACGACGAGGACCTGCCACCTCTGCTCCCCCCCGAGCCACCCGTGCTGCTGGAGCTGTCCCCCGCCACGGGGGTCCCGACCCCCCTGGCACCCGTCCTCAAGAATGACAAGGGTATTTGCATCCTGCCGTGTGCATGGAGTGTCACTGGCTGCCCACGGGGTACTAACCGCGCCCGGGGCCCCGGTGAACCGGGCAGCGCGGGGAGGGACGGGGCTCGGCACGGTGCCGGCGGTCACTAACGCGTGTGCTCGGGCACGGAGCACGGTGTGTATTTTTTTGTGGGGTTTTTTTTGTGTGGTTTGTGGCATGGGCACTGCGAGATGAGCTGGCTTCACGCGGAGGAGATGCCACGTGCCCGGCCCTGCTGTGTGTGGTGGCCGGCTGGCGGGGGATGTGGGCAAGTGTTGGTGCCAAACTGGGTTGTCTCCACGCTATGCCTGAAGTGTTGGCACACCCTGACACCTGCAGAGAGGTTTGCCAGGGCTCCTGTGTGCTGTGGATACAGAGGAGTGAATCCAGGTAATGGCTGCACGGGAGCATCAGGGTCACCTCCAGGTGAGGGTGGGGATACCTGGCTCTGCTTCAGTAACTGGTGTGGTCAGTGCTGTGACCAGCTGCAGCTGGTGGCCCTCTGGTCACCCAGAGGTGCTGTCCCCTGAGGGGGGTTTGGGGTTATCCAGCAGATCATCCCTGTGGTGAAGCCATGGATGTGCAGCAGCCCTGGGGGCTCAGTGAGTGGGGGCTCGGTGCCGTGTGCCAGCTCTGGGTTTGAGGGGAGTCAAGAGGGGCCCTGTCACACTGGGCTGCTGCCACCTCAGCACCCTGGGAATGCCACCCACCTCCTCCTCGAGCTGGTGCCACAGGCTGGAGCTACCTCAGGATTCATTCCAGAGCCTCCGGGTGGGCACCTGTGGGGCTCTGGCACCCGGCTCCCACCACGGCAAGGCTGAGGACCCGCTCGTGCCACCCTGCTGCTGGCATTCAGAGCGCAAGGAATGCTCCAACCACCACCTAACTGGGCTGACTGGTGGCTTCACTGGGAACCAGCAGCAAACCAGTGTGCCCTGGACCTACCCGAGGTGGGAAGAGTGAGGGGTGTGTGTCTCTGCAGGGTCTGGCACAGAGTCTGACAGCGATGAATCCGTACCAGAGCTCGAAGAGCAGGACTCCACACAGGCCACGACGCAGCAGGCACAGGTAGGGCAGGTGGCACACGGTGGATCAGAGTCCCTGTGGTGTCACCCAGCATTGTCAGGAGTCCCTGCGGTGTCACCCAGCATTGTCAGGAGTCCCTGTGGTGTCACCCAGCATTGTCAGGAGTCCCTGCGGTGTCACCCAGCATTGTCAGGAGTCCCTGTGGTGTCACCCAGCATTGTCAGGAGTCCCTGCGGTGTCACCCAGCATTGTCAGGAGTCCCTGCGGTGTCACCCAGCATTGTCAGGAGTCCCTGCGGTGTCACCCAGCATTGTCAGGAGTCCCTGCGGTGTCACCCAGCATTGTCAGGAGTCCCTGCGGTGTCACCCAGCATTGTCAGGAGTCCCTGCGGTGTCACCCAGCATTGTCAGGAGTCCCTGCGGTGTCACCCAGCATTGTCAGGAGTCCCTGCGGTGTCACCCAGCATTGTCAGGAGTCCCTGCGGTGTCACCCAGCATTGTCAGGAGTCCCTGCGGTGTCACCCAGCATTGTCAGGAGTCCCTGCGGTGTCACCCATTGCAGTTGTAGCCAGGTGGGAATTGACCTCTTCTCCCAGGGAATAACAGCACAGAAGGAAATGGCCCCGAGCTGTGCCAGGAGAGGCTCAGGATGGACATGAGGAGGAATTTCCTCATGGAAAAGTGCTCAGGCTTTGAAGTGCCTGCAGAAAAGGAGGCTCAGAGGGGAATTTTCACCCCACAGCTCCCTGAGGGGAAAGCAGGGTCAGGATCTGCTCCCGGGGCTTACCGGGACAAGGACATGGGAGGGGTCCCGGGGGTCTCTTCCCGCTCCGCGCCCCCCCCCCCATCCCGGTAACGGGGCCTCACTGCGCATGCGCGCCGAGAAGCTGCTGGAAGGGCAGCGGGCGGTGGCGGGGGGGCCGCGCCGCGCACGCGCGGTGGCGGCTGGCGGGAGGAGGCGGCGGCGGCGGCGCGCGCGGGGATTTTGCTGCGTCACCACGGGCCGAGCGCGCGCGGGGCATTGTGGGAGCGAGGCCGCGCCGAGCCCCGAGCCCGCCCGGAGCCACCGGAGCCTCCACCGGAACCCCCGGAACCCTCCCGGCACCGCCTCCACCGCCACCCGCACAGCCCGAGCCGCACCCCGCAGCAGCGCCCCGCCGGAGCCGTCGCCATCCGCCATGTGAGGCCCGGGGATGTGGGAGCGGCGCGGGCAGGCCCCGCCAGGCCGCGGGCGCTACCGCGGGAGCCGCCCCGGCGCCACCGAGCGCGGGCCCCCGCCGCGTGCTGACCTGGGTTTTGCCCCGCTTATCGGCTGGGCCCGGCCCCGGTTACCGGGTGAGGGCGGAGCGCCCCGGTTCGGCCGCCGGTGCCGCTCGCTGGCTCGGTGCCGGTTGTTGGCTCGGTCCCGGTGTAGCGCGGTGCGGGCGGGATCTCCCGCGGCGGAATGAATGGGGTGTTCGGGGGGGTGTTGTTGCGCGTTTCTCGGCGGGTCGGTGACCACCGGCAGCCGCCGAAACGGCGGAGATCTCCCGGTAAGTAAGGCGTGGAACGATCCAGAGCGTGCAGGCGGCAGGACGCGTTTGTAAATTTGGCGTTTTCGCCCTAAAATCCATCCCCGCGTTTTGCGCTGGCCCTGAAAGCGTCCAAGGCCAGGCTGGACGGGGCTTGGAACAGCCCGGTCCGGTGGAACGGGATGGGCTTTAAGGTTTTTTCTTCCCAGCCCAAACCGTTCCAGAATTCCGTGAAAAACCGAGGAATAACGAAAAGGCCCCTCAGGAGGGGGCGGAGGAGCACGGAAAGCCCCGGGGCAGGCGTGGTGCTGCAGGTGAGCCGCTGCATCTCCTCCCCGAGAGTCTCCACGTGCATCCCGCGCTCCCCGATTCATCTCTTTCCTTGGAATTCTCCAAAGGATTCATTTTGGGGGCCACCCAAAGCCAGCCCTGGTGGATGTGAGCGTTCCCTCAAGAAGATTCTGTGTTTTATGTGTCCAGGGTGACACTGGAGAGGGAAAAACTGGCTGGGAAAGAAGAGCTGCAAGCAGCATTCCCACATCTCCAGCGGCAGAACAAGGGCTTCCAACCACCCGAGAGCGGGGTTAGCTGGGATTTTGGGAGGAAAAATCCCTCCCTCTGAGGGTGCTGAGGCACTGGAATGGATTTTTCAGAGGATGCCCCATCCCTGGAGGTGTCCTGGGAGAGTTGGGGGGGTTGAATGAGCTTTAGGGTCCCTTCCAACCCAAACCATTCCACGATTCTGTGACCTCCACGTGCCTGGCTGGCAGGACTGGAGGCAGCAGCACCTCCTGAGGTTTTGTTTTGTCAGGAATTCAGGATGAGGACAGCGTTAACCGCTGGGTTTCTGGTCCCTTGTCCCCAGCCAGGCTTTTGCTTTTCTTCTGAAACCCTGAACAGTTGAGGTGCTGCATCTTAACGTGAGTGAAAGTGAGAGAGCTGTGATCAAGTTGGGAGTTTTTTCGTGTGATTTCTGTAGATTTCATCATCCTGGAACTGCAGCGCTGCTGCATCTGCATAGAATGGTCTAAAATCTAAAATGAGGGTTTTTTAACGAAAAAAAAAAGGTGTAAAAATTAAAGGAAAAGTCATTTTATAAAACAGGTTTTATTGCTGCCTGGGAGGGGAAAAATCTTGTTGAGGGCCTGATTTCTGCAGGAACTGTCAGGATACTTGCAGGAGATAAAAATGGGATTCCACAGACACAGGATAGAGACAGAGAACACAAGAACAGGTTTGGGAACTTCCTCAGTGCCACAGATGGAGAGATTTGAGGTTCCACTGGTGCCAGAGACCAGGATATATCCGGGGGTGTCCAACAGAGCCCCCCTGGGTCAGGCAGGGCTCTGTGGTGAAGCTGAGCCTCCACATTGCCCATCAGTGCCGCTGGGAAGCTTCTAGAACCTGTTCCACACTGCTGGAATAACGATTGCCGTGGGAATGTGGGGACTGGGAGAGCCAGAGGAGCTGCAGGGGTGGCTCTGGCTGCTCAGGAAGTCCCCAAAGCACAAGTGGATGGGGACAGAATGGACTGCTGGGAGCTCTAAATTCCCTTTTAAACGTTTAAATTCTTCTCTTTTCCAAAAAAACCCTCAGCAGGAGGCTGATCTCCCTCGGGGTTTGGGCGAGCAGGATGGAGCTCTAACAGGTGATGGGTCAGTGCCTGTGAAAGGAGATTTTTCCAGGTGTGTGGGAGCACGTGCACAGCTCCCCAGGGGCTGCTGCTGCTGCCTGTGGTTGTCTCCTGGGAATCTCCGTGTGGGCAGGAGGCAAAAAGGAGCTGTGGCTTCCTCCTCATCCCTGCTCTCCAGCAGGTCCTGCCTTACTGGTTGGAACTGGTGAGTCCTGACTGGAGCTCACAGGGAGGTTTCCCTCCTCCCTTTGGGAGGATGAGATTGGAAAAGCAGATAAAAGGAGGAGAGGCAGCTCCAGCACGTTGGTGAATTCTTGGGAAAGCAAGGCAGGTTTAGGCTCAGAAACCTGGAATTGGGAAAATTAAGTTCTAGAAACCTGGAACCAGAATTTGGCAGAGCCAGACTGATCAGGGATCCCTCTGCTCTGCAGCTCAAAGCTGTGTGTGTAGCCTTGAGCTGAGTGGGATTTTTTGGGAGGTCACAGGTTCCAAGCACTCTGAGGGTGAATTCCTGGGAAAGCAGGGCAGGTTTAGGCTCAGAAACCTGGAATTGGGAAAATTAAGTTCTAGAAACCTGGAACCAGAATTTGGCAGAGCCAGACTGATCAGGGATCCCTCTGCTCTGCAGCTCAAAGCTGTGTGTGTAGCCTTGAGCTGAGTGGGATTTTTTGGGAGGAATTCTCAGGAAAGCAGCACAGGTTTAGGTTCAGAAATGTGAATTATGGCTGAGTAAAATTCATCTGGGATCTTGCTGCTGTCCAGCTCAGACATGTGAGCTGAGTGGGGTTTCTGGGAGCCCTGTGAGTTCTGTTGGTGCCTCAAATCCCCAATCCTGGTGGAACTGCCAGGTCACGGGCTCCAAGCACTCTCAGGGTGAATTCCCAGGAAAACAGCACAGGTTTAGGTTCAGAAATGTCAGATTTATCTTGGATCTCTGCTCTGCAGCTCAGACATGTCAGCTGAGTGGGGTTTCTGGGAGGGCTGAGTTCTGTTGGTGCCTCACATCCCCAATCCTGGTGGAGCTGCTGAGGTTATGGGTTCTGAGCACTCTCAGGGTGAATTCCCAGGAAAGCAGCACAGGTTTAGGTTCAGAAATGTGAATTATGGCTGAGTAAAATTCATCTGGGATCTTGCTGCTGTCCAGCTCAGACATGTCAGCTGAGTGGGGTTTCTGGGAGTGCTGAGTTCTGTTGGTGCCTCAAATCCCCAGTCCTCGTGGAGCTGCTGAGGTCATGGGTTCCCAGCACTCTTGGGTTGAATTCCCAGGAAAACAGCACAGGTTTAGGTTCAGAAATGTGAATTATGTCAGATCCAAACTCATCTGGGATCCCTCTGCTCTCCAGCTCAGAGCTGTGTGTGTAGCCTTGAGCTGAGTGGGATTTCTGGGAGCCCTGTGAGCTCTGTTGCTGCCTCAAATCCCCAATCCTGGCAGAGCTGCTGAGCTCATGGCCAGGAGCCTCCCTGGGAAGGCTGGAGATGTCTCCATTGACACTGAGAGCTGGGAAGTGTTAACAGCATCCAGCCCTGCATCACCTGGCCAGGAACACTGACATTTCTGTTAACAACAGGGCTGGAGTGATATTCCAAGTGCCCCACTCTGGGGGGGTTTTGTCTCCCAGCACAGAGGGGGCAGAGCAGGGCATTTCTCATCCTCCTTTCCTCTTGAGAGTCTTTCATTCCCCGTTAAAAGAGGAAAATCTGTGTCCAAGAAGGGTTTAAAAATACCACAGTAAGAAAATTGCTGCTCTGCTGCTGCACTTCACCTGAATAAGGTGATAATTAACATTCCCTGAAATGCTGCTACGAGGGAAAGCAGCAGGTTTTCACCCCTGGAACAGCTGAAACTCAGAAGGCTGAATTCAAAATCCACTTTTTTGGAAATTAAATCCTTGGACATTGGTTCCTGCCCAGGTGCTGTGGCACCTACAAAAGGTTTGAGCTGCCCGAGGCATCGTGGCCATTCTGCAGCTTTTCCCTGAGGGAAAGCAGCAGGTTTTCACCCCTGGAACAGCTGAAACTCAGAAGGTTGAACTCAGAATCCACTTTTTTGGAAATTAAATCCTTGGACATTGATCCCTTCCCAGGTGCTGTGGCACCTACAAGAGGTTTGAGCTCCCCAAGGCATCGTGGCCGTTCTGCAGCTTTTCCCTGAGGGAAAGCAGCAGGTTTTCACCCCTGGAACAGCTGAAACTCAGAAGGTTGAATTCAGAATCCACTTTTTTGGAAATTAAATCCTCGGACATTGATCCCTGCCCAGGTGCTCTGGCACCTACAAGAGGTTTGAGCTGCTCAAGGCATCGTGGCCATTCTGCAGCTTTTCCCTGAGGGAAAGCAGCAGGTTTTCACCCTGGAACAGCTGAAACTCAGAAGGCTGAATTCAGAATCCACTTTTTTGGAAATTAAATCCTTGGACATTGATCCCTGCAAGAGGTTTGAGCTGCCCGAGGCATCGTGGCCATTCTGCAGCTTTTCCCTGAGGGAAAGCAGCAGGTTTTCAACTCTGGAAGAGCTGAAACTCAGAAGGCTGAATTCAGAATCCACTTTTTGGAAATTAAATCCTTGGAGATTAGTCCCTTCCCAGGTGCTGAGGCACCTACAAGAGGTTTGAGCTGCCCGAGGCATCGTGGCCATTCTGCAGCTTTTCCCTGAGGGAAAGCAGCAGGTTTTCACCCCTGGAACGGCTGAAACTCAGAAGGTTGAACTCAGAATCCACTTTTTGGAAATTAAATCCTTGGATGTTAGTCCCTTCACAGGTGCTCTGGCACCTACACCAGGTTTGAGCTGCCCAAGGCATCGTGGCCATTCTGCAGCTTTTCCCTGAGGGAAAGCAGCTGGTTTTCACCCCTGGAACAGCTGAAACTCAGAAGGTTGAACTCAGAATCCACTTTTTTGGAAATTAAATCCTTGGACATTGATCCCTGCAAGAGGTTTGAGCTGCCTGAGGCATCGTGGCCATTCTGCAGCTTTTCCCTGAGCTGGCACCAGTGTGCCCAGCACCTGTGGCACTGGGGGAGTCACAGGTGGCTGGTTTGGGGTTCAGCTGGAGCTGGGCTGTGCCATGCCTGGGTTCATCCCTGGGAAATGAGGATGGGAGCAGCAGGAACTTTTGGGTGAGTCCCTTTGCTGAATGTGCCACAGCTCAATGCCAACAATTGATTGATGATCGGGTGAGTCAAAAACTTGATCTGGAAGTTCAGCAAATGGTCTGAAAAGTTATTTTTTGGTCGGATTTTGGCTTAGAGAGCAGCACAAAGGGCCTGACCTTGGTGAGGTGGCTGTCACAGGCCACGTTCCCTGGTTTGGATCCTTGTCCACCTCATCCCAGGGCCATCAGCTGGGAAAAACTCCTCCCTGTGAAGCACAGGAATGGCAGATAAAGGGGGAGATCATGTTCAAGAAGAGATTAAGATGGAATATCGAGATGAAATCCCTTCCTGGTGAGGCCCTGGAATGGATTCCCCATCCCTGGAAGTATCCAAGGCCAGGCTGGACAAGGAAAGGCGTCCCTGCCGTGGCAGGGGGTGACACTGGCTGAACTTCAGGGTCCCTCCTAAACATTCCACCATTCCCTGGGAAGACAAAGGAGTGTGAGGAACACCCCTGGGCTCCGTGCCTGTGCAGCAGCCCTGCTGGGAGGCACTTTCCTTCTGGAATGCAGCCGTTCCCTGGGCTGGGCCTCGGTTGCCAGGGGAGGGCTGGAAGGGGGAGGGAGCCCAGCCAGGTCATTTTCCCTGCTCCACTGAGCAGTGCAGGTGAGTTCTCTGCAAACACAGGAGTTGCTCTGGAGCTCTGTGGCTTTCCCAGCTCCCCTGGACACGCTGTTGATTTTTGAGGTGGTTGTGTAAAGGCAGATTTATTCCAAAGTGCATGGGAGTCCCAGAGTGAGGGTTTGGGGAGGTTGTAAAGAGCTTGGAGCAGTGATTCTCCAGCCTGTGCTGGCTTAATTGGGTCTTAATCATAGCAAATCCATTAAGGCTCCCATTGAGACCCTTAATTGGGTCGTAATCATAGCAGATCATCGTATCAATACCCCAAAAAAATGTTGTTTTTTTTAAATTTTTGCTTTGGGTTTTAACTCTTTGCGTGACAAAAACCACTCTGAAGCCTGCCCGTGCAGGTGCTGGAGCTGCTGCCACAGTCTGTGGTAGCTCATCTTGAAGTTTATCAAAATTTTGATCTGCTGAAACGTTTATTTCAGTCTCAGATTTCAGTGAAATCTCCTCCCAGGAGCTTTCTGGGGGGCATCACACTCCAAATCCATCATTTCTTTTTATCCCACCTCTCTCCTTTCAGCTTAAATCGCCTCTAAAAAATAACAGTAAGCTCAAAACGCAGGTTTTAAACTCAGAAGGAAGGTTTTTTTTGTTGGATTTCTTGTTGAAAATCGATTCCCTTGTGTTCCTGCTGTGCCCACAGGCAGCCTGCCTCTGCAAAGTGGTACGACCGGAGGGACTACGTCTTCATTGAGTTCTGTGTTGAAGACAGCAAAGACGTAAATGTAAATTTTGAAAAGTCCAAACTCACGTTCAGGTGAGTAATTCGGGCACAGGGAGTGCTAAGAAGAAGCAGATTTGTCCTACCAGATGTTTTTTGGGCTAAATGCTGATTTATTTTTTCTCTTGCAGTTGTCTTGGAGGAAGTGATAACTTTAAACATTTAAATGAAATCGATCTTTTTAATAATATCGATCCAAATGTGAGTATCCTCTTGAGTTCTTGATGCTGGTGAGGGGCTGGCACGGCTTGTCCAGAGAAATTGCAGATATTCCATCCCTGGAATTGTTCAAGGCCATGTTGGAGCAACCTGGGCTGGTGGAACGTGTCCCTGCCCGTGGCATGGGTTTGGAACTTGGCTTTTAATGTCCTTTCCAACCCAAACCATCCCTTGGTTCTGTTATCCTAAAAAAAAAACCTGTGCTTTAGGCTGCTCCCGAGATTTTATTCCTTAAAAATAGAAATAGGAACTATTTTCTAAGGAAAATGATTTCTTAGAACATCAAAGCTCCCAAGTCAGATCCAGGAAAGCTTCTCTGGGTGGTATTTTCCAGGACAAGGAATAAGGGAAGAGGTGAAGATAAAGGAAGGATGTCAGCAGTTCCTGGTGAAGGTCATCCTGGTGGCACTAATGGATATTTGGTCTTTTTCAGGAATCAAAGCATAAAAGAACAGACAGATCCATCTTGTGTTGTTTACGAAAAGGAGAGTCTGGTCAGGCATGGCCAAGGTTAACAAAAGAGAGGGCAAAGGTGGGTCTGGGCATCTGCTGTCTCCCCTGCCTTTTAATTTAGTGAATATTTGGGTCATGTTCAAATTCTGGAGCAGTTTTGGGTCGTTTTCCTGCTCCTGATCCCACGGCAGCTCTCGTTAACCTGTTCTAACTGACAGCCACTTAACTTCCTTGTCCTTAAATAATTCCTTGTCCTGAAATAACTCCTGCTGTTGCTGCAGCTCAACTGGCTCAGCGTGGACTTCAACAACTGGAAAGACTGGGAAGATGATTCAGATGAAGACATGTCCAATTTTGATCGCTTTTCTGAGGTAGGAAATGAAAAATTCCTGGAGTTTTGGGAGCTGCCAGGCAATGAATCCCAACTTTTTGTGCACCATCACTTCCTAATTCCTGCTTGCCCTGTTAAAGCAAGGGGGGGTGTTGGTTTAGGATTGTTCTGGGTGTGAGTGGGGTTGGATTCACCCCAAAATGTGGCTGTTCTGTCTCTGAGCAGATGATGAACAACATGGGAGGAGACGACGACGTAGACTTGCCAGAAGTAGATGGGGCAGATGATGTGAGTATGTGGGTGTAGTGAACACCTGCAGGTCCTGCACTCACCCCTCAGCACTAAAAAGGGCTTAAACAGCCCAAAACTTTCTTTGCACAGGTGATGTCACCTGGGGAGGCCCTTTCCCTGCCCTCTCAGCACTGCTGGGGACACCAGTGTGGTGTCTGTGTCCCTCTGCAGTGGCTGGGGGTCTGCACTGAGGCCAAACTGAGCTCCTCAAAATCCAGATTTGGGCTCCCTGCGCTCCTCAAAATCCAGATTTGGGCTCACTCCGCTCCTCAAAATCCAGATTTGGGCTCACTCCGCTCCTCAAAATCCAGATTTGGGCTCACTCAGCTCCTCAAAATCCAGGTTTGGGCTCACTGAGCTTCTCAAAATCCAGATTTGGGCTCACTCAGCTCCTCAAAACCCAGATTTGGGCTCACTCAGCTCCTCAAAACCCAGATTTGGGCTCACTCAGCTCCTCAAAACCCAGATTTGGGCTCACTCAGCTCCTCAAAATCCAGATTTGGGCTCACTGCGCTCCTCAAAATCCAGATTTGGGAGCAGCAGCTCTTTGCTGCTTGGGGGGAGGGTGGCAGAGGAGCTGCCTGCTCCACTTAAAGGTTGTTCTCCTTTCCAGGACTCACCAGACAGTGATGATGAAAGTAAGTTGTTCTCTTTGTTGTTTTCCCCTCACACAGCTGCTGAAGGCTCCGAGCCAGCAGATGTTCATCCTGTCCACCAGCTAAAAGCCAACCCTGGGAGACAAATCTAATCTGGGAAAGCCTCTCCACACAAGCCCCAAACACCAGTTTGACCTTCCCAGGGAGGCTTTGGCTGTAGGAGCAGCACGTGCTCAGGGTGCCTCTGGCACAGTTTTCCCTTGGGAAGAGCCAGGGGGGAGGGCAGAGGCCCCAAACTTCCCCTTGGTTGGAGGCCAGCTCGTCTTGCTCGTGTCCCTTGTGACATAACAGTGCCCTGAGAGCTTTTTAAAAACCAACCAAGCAAAAAAAAACAAAACCCACAAAGCAACCCTAAAACCACTAATTTCTCTCTTTTTTTTTCCCCCCTCTAGAAATGCCGGATCTGGAGTAAGGCAAACTGTCGTCTTCAGGGTTTTGGGGGAAAGAAGTTCATCACAACATTTCATAATTGAGATAAGAATTCCTGAGTTGATAGCCCTAAAGGGAGATCCTGCATCCTTTAACCCATTTTCAGTCCATTTTAAATGGCTTCACTGATGGTAGGTGTGTCCCATGGCACGGGGCGGTCTTAAAGCCACGAGAGGCAATAACAGTTATGCATGAACCGTTTTCCAGACTTCCAAAAAAAACAAAAACCACCAAACCAACCCAATTGAGGTGTAGGCAATCCATTGAGAACATTTGCAATAAAGTTTACAGAGCCTCCTTGCCTCGTAGCAGAAGTAATTACAACGGGAAGAACCCTGAATTAACACCGAGAAATTATTTTTTTTCCCCTCCCCTCTCTCTCTTCTCCACAACCTGAAATTAATTTGTACCAGGAACAAAAAACTCTTATTGGCTCCCCAAAAAAAAAAAAAATCCAGCAGGCGAGGCGCATCCCTCCGTGATGTCTTCAGCTCTGTTCCCACTTAAAAAAAAACCTTCAAAAACTTCAAAATTCTCCCCGTTTTTGGCGTTCGGTGCCGGTGGCCTGCCCCTGGTCCCGTGTGACCCCAAACCTTTCCACCTCCTCGCCCGGGCTGCGAGTGGCTGTACATTGTTGCTTGTCAATCTGTACATTTTAGACCAAAATCGTATTTGCACTGTGGGTTTGGCAGCAAGTGACAGACCGTGGGGCGCGCGGGCGCCTGCGAACCGGGCTGAAAAACCTCAATTTATGTTCAGAGCAGCTGGGATTTTTTTAATGTCTGCATTCTTTCTAATAAACTGTTGAAGACTCCCTGGCTCTCCCTTCGGCCTGGGCCTTGTGCGTGTTGCTCAGCGCCGCGGGGGTGAAGGGGGCAGCGGGGTGGGATCCCCTTTCTTGGGGGGTCAGGGGCGTGGGATCCCCTTTTTTGGGGGTTCAGAGGGGTGGGATCCCGGCCGCTGCTGCCCCGCGGGGCCGCCCCGGGCCGGGACCTCCTCCCGCTGCTCCTCGGCCGCGGGGCCGCCCCGGCTGTCGCCGTCGGGGCGCGTGAGTGCGGGGCGGGCCGGGGTCACCTTGGGGCCTGCGCGGGTGGGGGAGGCGGGGTGCCGCTGCTCAGGGCCCCGTTACCGGGGTGGGGTGTGCCGTGCCCAGCGGGCAGAGCGAGCGGATGGGCTGCGGCAGAGGAGCGGCGGCGCTGGGGGTGG